ATTCATAATAAAAAATATTAAATTGTAAATTATTTATTGAATTTTTATTATATAAAACTTCTATAACATTTTTAATGTTTAAATCTTAACTTTTAGATCTAAATTCATTTATATTCTTTTAAAATTTAGAATTCTAATTTTTAAAAATACGATGACAATACATAACAGCATAAAATACAAGTAAAATTTTATATTTTAATTTTACGTGTATTTGAAGCTGTCATGTGCTCAATATTATTATCATGCTTCCAAAACTTCACAAAACCTCAAAAAACTTGCCAATTTTTTTTAATCAATCTCAATTTATTTTATTAATGTAAATAAGCAGTGAAAATAAGTTTAAGTGAAATTAAAGATTTGACTTGGCCAAATTATATTACTAGATCATAAAATAAGTATTATAAATTAGATTAGGTAATTGGATCAAAAGTATGATTTTGAATATATCAAAAGAAATATAACTATAAAATATATTTACAAATAAATATGATAAAAATGAAACAAAAATTATAATTTTCATCAAAATAAAAAAAATGATAAATGATAAAAATAACATAAAATAATTTTAATTCTAAATAAAAATATGCATATACAAATTCATAATATAAATAGCAAAACAAAGTAAATTTTGTCAAATATTAAACTAAAACATATAAAACAATAGAAAAGAATTACTGCAACTCAGATATTTATCATTTGTGACATAAAGTTACCATCAGATTGATACATCAATTTTAAAAAATTGTATTGATAAAAATACAAAGTAACAATCAGAAACATACAAAACATGATTTTTTTAAAAATGTGTTTAGCATCTATAATTTGATGTTATAAATACCCCAATGTATTAACTATTCAACTTGGAATCTATCTATGTGCCATAATGTCCAAATTGTAGAGCAATATTATCATCTTCATTGTTTAAAATTGATTCAAACCTTAACAAAGTTGAAATATTTGATTATCACCATCACGTTTATTTTTTATTTAAATTACACTTGATATATCAGCAGATCTTAAGACGAGGTATATAATCAAAATTTTCTTGTTACCATTTGACAGCACAAAAACTTGTTATATTATAATTTATTAATATGAAATAAAGTTATAGTTCAGAGGTTTGTGGGTAATCATAATTTTTTTAAATAAAATTAATTTTAAATCATATCATTAATGATAATTAATTCATATTAAAACATCTACAATCATATTTGAGATAAATTATGATTCAATAATGCTCAATTATTTCATAAATGTGGATTTGATATAGTTATATGTAAAGAAAAACTCATCAATATCAAAAAATGTCCTTTTCAAATTAATTTATGATGAATATTCAACAATATTTAGGTTTTTAATTATTATTTTTAAAATGAATTTTCAAACATTTAGTAAAATTGAAATAATTTAAATTTAATTAAAAATACAAATAAGGATAAATATTTTTTTAAATAAATGATAAATTATTGACAAACTTGGACAAGTTTTGACAAACTGTTTGAAATATATTTGAAATGAATGAAAAAGTTGAAACTTTGATAAGAATATTCATGCATAAACTTAAAATGAAAAAATTTTATTTTTTCATTTTAAAATTTTTGCAATCAAATGATTCAAAAGATAGTGTTAGGTGTTTGAAATTGCAATAAAAATTATTATTTTTTACATTTTTTTATTTTTTAGTAAATTTTTTTTAAAAATGAAATTATATCAAATTTTTATGACATTCAAGAAAAAATAATTCAAATTGCAAAAAAATTTGCATTATTTTGATGTTTTTAGTTCACATTATATAACTTAAAAATAAAACATAAGTTTCATGCAATAAGTGTAAATTTTTTTTCATACTAAATTTAGAAATTAATCAAAAATTGCTTTAATTTCAAGGTTAATTGAAAAACTGATCAAAGTGTTTTGATGATTTTCCAACAGGCATATGCATATTATCATGTAAAAAATACTGTTATTCTATTTTATTTTATTTTTTATACCCTAAATAAAAATAAAATATTTTTTTATATCTTTAAAATAAACGATACAACTTTAAAATATAGATTAAAAAATATTTTTTGCGTCAACTTTTTACAAAATTTTATAGTCTAAGAATGTAAGAAAACAAAAAAATTTGACAAGAAAAAAATTTAAAATATGTCATTTAATAAAAAAATCTTTTGCTTAATGATTTATCATTTTTGAAATTAATCCATATTTTTATTTATTGATTTGATTTCTCATTATAAATTTAAAATATTCACAAAAAAATGATTCGCAAAATTTGAAGACTATAAAAGATCTATGATAAAAAAAAAATTAAAAAAAAATTACATGACATTTACAAGCAGAAAATATTATGTTGTTGTCATATATTCTTCTCTGAATGTATTTATGATATGATACATGAGTTAAATTATACTAACTTTGTTTTTTACATTAGTATTGGTTTTAAGCCGACTCTATATGAACTACCGAGCTAGCATTGAAGGTGGAGTAGGAGTATCATTATCGGGTTCAACATACTGCGCGTAATATGAAGGAGGTAGGAATAAATACAATCCTCCTCCATATTACCACGTACCTGGTGTAAATACCGGGTATGTGGTTCCGAGTAAATGTCTCCACGTGGCGGAGCTTGTAACAAGATAATGTAATGTATACCTTTATAGAGAATTGTGTATCCAACAACTATAGAGATTATTGACATGTTATTCTCAATTAAAAAAATTAATGAACACATGGATTGCTAATGTGTGATTGTAAAGTAAAAAAATTTATTATTCACCTAGCAAACACAAGATTTTTCACTTTACTATAAGTTAAATCTATTTCTATCGTAAATAATATGTGCATTAATAAATGTGTTACATTAAGTCAAATAAGATTAATTTGAAAAATTGTAAATAAATATGACATAAAGTAAATAATAAAAATTTTTTAAGATGTTGATTATAAAATATTAATTAAATAAAAACTTATACCGTAAAAATTTATATTATTAATTAATAAATATAAGAACTAAATATTTATTCATTATTAATATTTCTTTTATTTCAAATTTGATAAAAGTTAGTTTTAACACAAAATATAAATAAAATAGTTTTTTATCAAATAGAAATATATGTAAATGTAAAATATAAAAACATATAACAAACTGAATATTTTTTATTTCAAATTATATGATTTATAGTATCTGATAATATTTAAATAATAAATCTTTTCAAAATAAAAATGTTGAATTTTTTATGAGATTAAAAAAATTTAAAATTACTTATAATGAATTTAATACATATAATATTTGATGATAAAAATATTATTTGACATAATATTTTGATCAATAAAAAGTCAAGAGTTAATTACAAAAATTATACAATCTTCGAAAAACCTAATTATTTGATTTCAACAAAAAAGTCACAATCATAATCAATAATAAGTAATCATCTAATTTTATCAATGATGTCATATTCATTTAATTTATCATTGATGTTGGACATATATGATTAATTGTTGCATTTTACTTTTATAGAATACAAACTCTAAAATTTGCATGAGATCTTCCGAGAAATCTCTTATTTAAATATTTGGTGGTTATAGTTTGATAAAATAAAATGTTATTTTTAGTGTACTTAGAAATCCATAACTTTGGATGACATGTGACAATAGTAAAGATCTCCCAAAATTAGTATAAGCTCTTTGAGTTTGTGGATGTTAAGTTTGGAAACATGTGCGTGTGAGGCTATCTTATTGGACATATGGAAATAAATAAAATTGGCGAGAAGTTAAATGATCCACAGATCTGCCATATAAACGTGTGAAACTCTTCGGCGCTATCCTAAGCCTGTTTGTTCAGATTGTTTGTCCATTGACGGGTTGGGATCGTTACTTTTATAGAACACGTTGAAGTTTATTGGGAAAAAGCTCCATAAATTGTATTAGAGCTTACGTAAACCCTCAAATAAAGCATATTTCTAACAAGACTAACTCAATGGGTTTAAGCCAGGTCTCATAACGCCACGGAATTTCCACAACTAATTATATTAAATTAAGTTATGGATTCTACTTGTCTTAATTTTGGGATTTGCCAATAAATAGAGTCCATACGTGCTATTACTTGACACTTATTGACTTTCTCAAGTGTGAGTATTGGAGATTTATAAGAAAGTGATTTTTGTACTAAAACGAATATTATATATCTTACTTGTGGCAAAGGCAACGTGGCACAATCTTACTTATGGTAAAGTTAAAGTTGTGATGAGTCTCGGAGATTTATAAGAAAGTGATATTTGTACTAAAAGGAATATTATATATCGTAATCTCACTTGTGGCAAACGCAACGTGGCATAATCTACTTGTGGCAAAGTCAAAGTTGTGATCATGATGTTCTTAATTTGTGTAAGACGCATCATTTAATTTTGGTTAATTTTGGGATTTTGTTAAGAAACCCCAGAATTTAGGAGGCCTGATTTAAGCTAACTTGAGTTACATGAAGAATCAAGTTCACTCTAATAAATTTATTTGAATATTTGGTGGTTACATATCCTAGATATAATAAAATTTAATTTTAAGATACTTAAAAATCCATAACTTCAGATGACATGTGTCAATGGTCAAAATAACTCACATTTAATATCAACTCTTTGACGTTAGGGATATTATTGTGACGATGGTCAAGAAAACCCACATTTAGTATCAACTCTTTGATGTTATGACGTTAAGTTTAGAAACATGTGCGTGAGAGAGTTCATCTACCTAGTCTTTTGGAGTTTTATACTCTTGAACATAATTTGAAGTGATTGTATTGCGATTTTGCGAAAAGCATTAAACGATATCATCTTCACGAGAAGATCTCATCACTAGATAGATAGATATATATATATATATATATATATTTCATTTTTTTCATCTAAAATTTTATGATTATGTCCAGTATAATATACAATTCATTATGTGATATAATGGCCCCAAATTACACAATTAGGATTGCTATGGATATTACTATCCTGTTGTTATATGAAGGTGTGTACTTGCTGGCACTCAAATATGCTTGTTCCTCGATCATGAGACCATGAAGTCCACGTAAGTGACACCTGCTGAAAAGGAGGGAGGCTCTTAGGCTCGGCCTCGGTCGTTTCCTCGTCCTGACGGGCCCAGCTCCCGCCCACTACATGTCCATCTCGTCTCATCTGCAGCCAGCCTGCGCAGCTTTTCGTGCACGGATTCTGCCGAAATGCTGATGCGCTCCCGGTCTCCAGTCTCCAATCTCCACTCCTGTCAGTGTACGTGAGAGTGGCACAAGTCGACCGAGCAGGGAGTTCCGTCTGGTCTGGTCGATGCTCGAGAGCACCCCCGGCACGTACGAGCGAGGGCACTTGTGTGCTCGCGTGCTTGCTTGCTTGCTGGAGCCGCTTTGCAATCAGGCGGACGCCGGTGATGAAAATCAGAACGCTGGTGCCACTTTTCGTTACTCCATGCGCTCGACTTCTGGATCACTCGGCGTGATCCAGAAGGCTCGCACACCAGTTCCAGCTGACAGCTTTATTCGTCGTCGTGATGGCCGTGACATGTGGACTCGAAAAGTGCTGCGAAAAGATGTTACACGGCGAACACAAGAATGTTCCGACTGTAGTCTCGCCATAGACATTCATCGGGGGCATTAGTAGGTCAGCTGGGAAAGTAGAGCCTTGAAACTCGGTTGCGTTTTCTGCGGTGGTCGAGTCCAGAATCCTTAAATTCCCATGAGAGAGGGAGATACATGATCCACTGAGCGCACTCGTCGTGTCCCAACCGAATGCAGCAGATGGAGATATATGGAAGTGGAAAGTGGGATACAAAAGGGGAAGCTAGCGATCGCACTGTGGATCGACTTGTCAGGTCATGCAGCAGCAGCAGCAGGAGTATAGTACATGATGTACGAGTAGCAGTAGCAGTATTAGTATTACTAGCAGAGCTAGGTTGTGATCTAGGTGGGGGTGCAGGTGCCCTGCCTGCTTGCCTGCCTGCCTGTGACATGGTTTTGGCTATCATGACACGTTCTGCCCCATGACAGCTGTAACTGGAGATCAGAGCTCGCCTCACACTTCCTTCATTCATTCAGTCACTCATTCATCCGATCATTCATTCATAGCCCCTTACAGCCTGGGATGATGGACGGACGGCAGCAGAGTTTTCATCTTCTCTGCTCCTTCGTGGCGTGGTGGCGGTGCTGCTGGTGGAGCTGGACTCTGGAGGGTTTCCCCCCTGCACCAGCAGAAGCAGCATCATTGAACTTGCATGGGAACATTGACATCTGGCTCGTGCATAGCTCGAGTTCTCATATCATTTTACTGTCGAGACGACGCAGTAAAATAAGAGAAATGAAAGGATGGGAAGACCCCGTCGACCAATTCGCTGTCCACCTATCACATGCTCTCCCGTGTTGGACCTAGCATGGTCGCTCCTTCATAACTCCTCACTCCCTCACTCCGTCCGTGAGTCCCGCATGTTCATGTCCATCTGCAGCCTTCCAAGGCTTTGCTCTTCCTATCTCTCCAATCATGCAGTCGTTTTCGCAATGAGTGGATCTATCGTCTTACTTCTGTGTGCTTGGCACATCCCTGATTTCGTGCGAGGAATATGAAATACTGCCAAGAGATATGCATGCTGTCTTACTGGACGGCCATTGATGTTGGGGGCTGGGGGAAGAGGGTAAGAAAAGAAATGCACGGAAATGAAAGGAGGGTGGCATGAAATGCCACATCATGCAGCCTCCTCCGCTTGGCTTTGAGGAACATGTACCAGAGCACACTGAATGAAGCCACCAAAGGCTCCGAATCGCAACAAGACAGACCTCAAGCACAAACAATGTGGGGGAATGGGTGCGTTGCAGGTCAGACTTGTCATATTACTATTCCACTGGAAGACGTCAAGTTTTAGAGCAGATTCTTCGTCATAAACGGAATGCGCTCATCCAGGAACTCGAGTAAATGCAAACTGCCTATCGAGGAAATACGAGAGTCATAGGAAAGGGTGAACCTCGATCTGAACTACAGAAGACGATAAAACCTTGTGTCTGTTGCAACGATGCTCTGTCCGAGGATGATATATAGGTCCCATAAGTGCAGGTTAGAGATATGAGTGGATACGGCAGGCCTCAGACTGAGCTTGGATTTCCTCTCCTATGCCTTCAATGCATATGAATTTTTCTATCTACTCGGAACCAAATTTCCGATAATTCTAGTAGAGGAATTTGAAGCAATCCAAAACCTAAGGGTCTTATAGCATCAAGGAGTATCCTTCTGCACACCTTCGTCCTCAATAGTTTAAACCACCGGGATCCAAGATACAGATCTACTTGACTGACTGAGGTCAGGATGTTCTCAGCTCTTTCTCCAGCCATCTGTTCAGAAAAGTACAGCCATTTCTGGACCGCCTGTGAAAAAGCCAAAGTTTCCAAATTCAGTTTCCAAATCAGTTTGATGGACTGAGGATCGATTGCCCGTGAAGCCATCAACTCCCTGTGAAATTGGTCTTCTCCTCTGCACTAGTCTGAACTGTCGACGAAACCAAACAGGTTTCGGTGTCGAAGCATTCATGATGAAAGGACTTCTCTGCTTCTGATTTTGCTACACATGCTGGAGCTGGACCGAAGTGTACATTCACTTCATTTCTACTAAAGCTTCACGTCGAGGCGCGGATCCTCGAACTCTGAGATGTGATTGCGTTCTCGAGCTGAAGCTTGGAGAGATCGCCGCCACTGGAAGGTGTATGCAGCTCGGTGGGAGTTCGTTCGACTGCATGTCCAACAACCACCCCCCGCCACACAAGACCACACCACCACGCCTGCAGAGACTCCGAGTTCCTCACTAGTCGGTGCATTACTGTAATTTAAAGCTTCTCTTGAACGCCGTGGTCAACTCTTTCAGCAATTAATTAAGCTCGATTTAGGTTCCTAGGTAATGACAACGGTGGGGAATGAGCTGTCGGCTGCTCTCACATTTATGGACGTAGTAATCACATCCGCATGCAACTCACGACGTATCTTAACAACAACCCACTTGCCATAACGACGGACGTTTGTTCCCCCACAGAACAGCATCTGCTGGATGTTCCCCAACTCTTCAAACATCTCTGTTTCCCGGTATCACACAGCACGACAACACAGTGGCGCATTTGAGGTGTTTTTCATTGTGCCTGCTTGCTCTCCACTGCGCACCATTGCTGCTTCCAAGGAGTTCTTTCAGTTCTGAAATTCGTCTACCTTCGATACACGTTGACTTTCCGTTTACTCCACTAAAAGTATCTCGATTCTCTGAGCGTTCGTTCCCGAGACATTCTTCAAATCGCTCCCATGGAGTTTGAGTCACACTTCCTGCTTCTGAGTATCTTTCTGGTGGTCTTGTCATTGGTGCAACGACCAACCAAAGAAAAGAGGAAAAGAATCCTCATTTCGAACTCCGGGCAGGGATTTCTCGATTTCACCGCCATATTGTGGAAGACAAGAAATCTGATCGGAAAGATTTGAGAAAATCAACCCATTTGGGAATAGGTGTATCTTGTACATGAATACGTTATAAAGTTTAGGAAGAGTATACGGCTTTGACTGATCTTCCTCCAAAAGTTGTTGGGCAGGAGGACAGGGCAAAGTGTGGAATCGGCATCGTTAAATATTGCCAGAGGTCGCCCGAGGCGCCCACCTCATGCATGAGGGTTCCGCTTACAAACATACTTTCAGCCCTGAATCCTGACATCTCAAAACAGAACGGCAAGAGAGACGAGAAAAGCTCCATGAGCTCGGACGGACAGTCTCGCGCATTACTCGCTATGGGTCACGGGTGCAACAGATCAGCCAACTTCTGAACTGGCTGTTGGAGGTGGCCCGTCAGGAAGTGCATTGACTGATTGATTGGTCCGGTCTACATATCGATTTTCCATATTGCTATTGGCCACCGTCATGGGAGAACAACCGGAGAACATGCGTGCTTCGTATTAAATAATCTGTTTGTATTGGTACATCACTTCAGTAGGGAGTCATCATAATAACCATTGTGAGGAATCCGACTACTGATCGACAGTTTCTAAATGTTGAACTTGTGAGTATAACCGTGGTCAATAATGGAGATGCTCCGCAAGTCTGGCACGTATTGAATCAGCAAAAGTGACTTTTGGCTTACGCTTTCGTTCGCCGCTTTGTTTTGAACCTTACAATTTGTATAAAGAATACGTCGGAGCACCTGCTCTCGAGCAGTCAAAACGGCATCGCCATCACGTGACGGATGGGGACCCTGTGACTTCTGTGTAGCTGGGGTCAATTCAGTCCTGGTTGGATGACAGAGGGCGGACCGGCCAAAGAATTTGGTGCTGTCATACTCGTGACAGCGTTATAAAATGCTACAAACTGCTCCAATGTCAGCTCCTCGGGTCTTGCCTGGGAAAGAAAAACACAATATCATATTCCAATCATTTTTTGAATGTTTTCCATCTCTCGACCTCTGGTTAGCATTGAAAGTGAGCAGCTAAACTGCATGCACATTCTGTCAAACGTCGTGCATCCACTTCAGTAAACCCACCTCAGGAGACCAACCACCCACAACTTTGACAACTACAGTAACATAGTGTGACCTCAGCCGACTGCTGCACGTATCAGATTTGTACATGCTCCAAGAGTTTTGTCTAGCAATTCCTTGTTAACACAAGCCCTAACGCTGACACGTTCGATTTTCTCACAACACCTCCGACAAGCACATCCATTAGTTTGTTGCCTCGTATTCGATTCATTATCCACATTCTTACCGTCTCAGGAAGACCAACAGAGAGAAGAGCAGCTTGAGTACTAGACGGAGAGAACATATGCTGCAACGTATTGCGCAACATTTTCCGCTTTCCATTGAAAGCCGAGTTGATCTGTAGAAAAAGAGATGTCACAATCAACAACAAATTGTTAGTAATTTCTTCTACAACTCGACTGCAGCCTCTGCCACCGGATAAGGTCAGGAACATGTGAACAAAAAACCATCGCCTACAATACCGGCAAGACAATCGTTGTTCTGTCTCAAGGCTTCGACGAAGACTAGGTCGAGTTTATATCTGACTACACGCAACGTTCTTGCATAGTCAATAGTCTTCGGAATCTAGGGCGTAAACTTGGGAGCATAGAACAACCCACAACACTGATCAGGAATAGGTATCCTCACCATTGAAAAAAAGACTTTCTGTGAAGCCACAAGAGGGTATTCAGATTCTTTCTTGATCGCAAAGCAAACTACGCCGCCATCTACCTGGAAAATGTTATCAAAAAGTAGACGTAAGTCAGGTACGTCAAGAAGATTCAAGTGCGCGCTAAGAAAGTGGGACACATGTGATACATCCAAAAAGATGAGAGGACCTCATCAACTCGTATAGGGATGAATGAAGAAGGGTAAGAAGATTCAGAAGAATGACTGCAGAGTCAAAACATTGTAAGACTTTTGTTTGAGGAGTGTTTCATCAATAGGTAATATGAAAGGTTGATAACGCATATTAGTGCTAATTGCTAGATTTGTAATCGGATTGACTGCACTTCTAATGGCAGACTTACGAACATGCACTCGCAATCGGTGATTCTAGTTACTCACCGCAAGTGAACAACAAAAGACACTACCACAACGTTTTTTGGGTAATTGACTCGATTGCACAAGTGAAAATAAAGTTCGAATAGGGTACAAAAATCAACATACTGTCATCCTCCATACGAAAGGTGGCTGTTTCGTGGTAAGGATTCCACGTTGTGACCGTAGTGACATGGGCTTGAATCCCAGCAGCCACAGTTGCAATAACTTACTCAAACCGACGTCGACAATCAAACCAGGTCTTACGAAAGCTTGAAGAATGTGTGGCGACTCAAATTGTGACGAAGGACAACTGAATGACTTTAATACACACAGGCGGAGATTTCTACATCATGGTACAGAGTACGCATTATTTACAAAGCATGGAAAACTATCTACACGAGGATTCAAACTAATACCCACGGGCGAAGATCTCTACATCATGGGACAATGAACTGTTTACTAAGCATCTCCGTTTCTAGAAGTTCATTTTCAATACTTTCAAAAAAATTTACTTTAGCTATGAGAACAATGTCAAGTCGGATACGTACCCGTGGAACGGGAAAGAAGCTTTTACGGGGCACTTTGAATTTATACTCTGGCACTGCACATCACATCTACACGCAATATCAGTTATTCGTGAGAACATCATTCCATACTGTATGGAAAGCGGAAACTCTGAACGGAATGCTGCAGAAACAAATAGGTTATGTCGGATGAAAATCTGACTGAGACTTAAGGCTTGACAACCGAAACTTGGGAAGTCGAAATGCAAGATTAGCCGATTAAAAATTCAGATGATGAAGAGACAAACAGACCTGAATAGAAATTAACTACAAAACTAATTGGGCGATACTCTCCGGAATCCGGTGAAGCATCAACGAGACGGAGGGCTGCTTCATCCTGTGTGTCACGGGACATAATTTCAGGACTTTGGTCTGCCACCAACAGTCAAAGCAGCATTGGTAGTGCTTCAAATAGCAGTGCGGAAAATTTTTACTATTGACACCAGAACTGTCAGTCAGCAGGGAGTCAATGACATCGAATGAAGGTTCGCTCTTGTTATAAAATCAGGATCGCTGTCACCATTCTAATTCATTTTTTTGTATTGAGGTGCATAAAAAGGAAAACGTAAATTCGTGTGAACACTGGAATGGCACGTGAAACAACTAACTGTAACTGCGTGTATCAGCACCACGTGTGTATATTAAGATCTATACTACGAAACACACGAAGGCTCAGGGTTTTGTACCCCAAACCCTGCTCATGAATAATACCTGTAACAGAAGAACAACGGTAGAGAACAAATCTCCCATTGGAAGCACTTTCTTTACAACGTTTGTCGTGATGTTGAACGGTAGGTTTGACACAATCTGCATCCAAAATAAGCTTATATTAACAAGCCACAAGTGGAAGGTCTACAACGTCAATTTTATGACACTAGAGAATACAGCCAATTCACAAGCTTTCCATCTGAAAAGAAAAAAGATAATAAAGTCAACTATCTGAAGGAACTCGTCAGACAACGAAGCTAACATACAATGGCTTCACAAAGTGAATTACTGTCGAAAGTTTTCATCCTGAATGTCAACCACTGTCACATCCCCGCACAACTTGATATCTGCACCCCGAACATGGTCAATGATTCATTCGCTGTAATACATAGCATGTTATTACCTTCGCCAACTTCGGCTCTCCTGATGCGAGAGTCGCCTTTTCCAAGTACTTCTTGATTTCATTTCTCAGAGGCCACTTCAAAAAGTCTATGTTCACCACCTGCAAGAGAACCAAAATTCGGCGTCAACTGTCAGAGTAATATCAAAACTGCCACTAGCTATCTAAGAACATCGCTGCGTAATACGGTACAAAATAACTATAGTCAGTAAACTGTGACAATCTTCCACTTGAAAGAGCCAGAACACAATTCATCTCAAAGTAGCGTGATCAAGAACTTGGAGAAACTCCGGAACTCAGCACAGCAGCATCACATGTACCAACAATCCAATCCTCCGAAATCTGCATCCAAGTTCTTGGCTAAAATAAGTTTGTGCGAAAAGCAAGCAATACACATGTTGAAACATTCCAGGATTTGTTGGAGGTAGCATCATTAGAGTCTTACATCAACATTACCGCTTTCTGCGAAGCGCTCAGCTACCAAAGAAGCCATATCTGGATCCTGCACAGAAATCCGTAGTGAGTGTACGCTGGTTGAATAAGCAGGGTAAAAGCAGGCAGTCACATATTGAGACAGCCCAGAGTCAATAGTAGTCTCATGGCTAGTTTCCGGGTCCATATTTCCTCCTCAGAAACATCTTTGAGTGGAAGGAGAAAACAAACATCCCATACGATTATTGACCGTCGACAATTGACAATTTTAAATTCCTCGGTGAAAGCAAGACGAAGACAGACCTACGGAGAACAGAAGCAATCACTTGGACTGGGCATAGTGAAGGTGAAATACAAATTCGAGAAAAGCATACAGCTCAAGGGGCACAGGAAGTCAATTCGCATCTGAATGGAAAAATTACTGGATGATGCTTAAGCGGGAAGAAGCAACCAAGAGTGGTGTCATAAGACTGCGAGATCAACACTCATCAGCTGAATTCAACGTCGTCATTCTTCCGACTAAGAGACTAAAATAACAAGCTTTCCACTATTTGCAAGCAGCCTTTATAGCTCAGTGGTAGAGCGTCAGTCTTGTAAACTGAAGGTCCGGTGTTCGATCCACCGTGGAGGCACGGCTGACGTTTGTCACGTGTGCCCAATTAAAATTTGCTTTTGTAGAATACTCTTTGCTGAAGAGAATTGCATAGTACGTAGATCAACGGAAACTCGGCACATTAGTTGCTACAGGTGCCGCTAAAATGTCAGTTTCCCACACAGTATCTTCGGTCTTCAGTATATTCTTCAAAGACTTCGATTGACATGTCGAAACGTCGATAAATCGATCGAAGTCCGAGTAACTAACTACTCTATATATGACAGGCAGCACGGTCTTTAAATTTAACTCCTATCCCGTTCGAAAGCCATCTACAGTGCACGGCGCGAGAGCAGACCAAGAATTTCAAATTGCGGGGAATGAAGTTTATTTCGATGAGAAAGGAACACATAGCATTCCTATTTGATATTTGATGAAAAGGAAGAGAAAACTTTGACACTAACAGCACCTGGACAACATCATTGGTACAGAGATAATCGAAGATTCACCTTTTCGACAGCAATTACATGGGCACCGGCCGCTACAAGAGATTTCGTGAGAGCCCCTGTTCCAGGCCCTATTTCCACTACAATATCTCCCGGACATATGTGAGCTGCATCGACCACTTTCGCATTCACCTTCTCGTTCACCATGTAATGCTGAACAATTTTTCCAAACCTATGTTAAAAGAAAATTCTTAATTGTGCGACGTGTCCGACAACATCTGTGAGCCACCGAGCACTGTGTACGTCCACTTGGCGGATTAGACCAGACCGAAATACTCCGAAAATCAGAACGGAAGCAACCACCAAAACTTGAGAGATCCAGACAGTATCACAACCTGGCCCAGCCATTTTTTGGGGAAGCGGTCGCGCGATTGCAGAGCTTTCACAATGCTCCCAATGTCATCACGATTTTCGGCTTTCACCTCCACAACCGAGCATTTCACACCGGGAGAATTCGTCCCCCGACCGCCGGAAACCCACGTCGTCCGAAATTCTCCAATTCCAAAAGCCCCCGAGAAACCGAGACCAAAATTGCTGCTACTCGCTGAACAGCCACGGCCGCTGCTGCTCCTGCTCCTCCCTTTCGTCAAACCAAGAGAAAAACCATCCACACTTTGCCAGCTGCAGCACCCAATCCCTGCGAGCTGCATCCTGCTCGCACCCTATCCAAGAAATCGACCCAAGAATCGACCAAATTCGAGCTTCTCCTTCTCCCTTTCGCACCGCGCCTCGCCTCACCTTCGTCAATTCAGATGACACGCCCGCGCCTTCGCCAACGGACTCCGGACCGCGCCAGGAAATCCAGGCAGCGTGCTGAGCTCTCAGGGTGACCGGTGCACCGCTCAATCCCAGTCACAGGTCCCGCACTCCGCGCCTCAGCTGAAACACGCAGGATCAGCGCCAGATTCTGTAGATACTCGCAGTACCCCGGCACGACAGCAGCGCCCTATCCCAAGCTTTTGGGAATGAATGTCAGGAACGTGGTCGATCAGCAACTGTGATCATTGCCACGGACTTGAACTGCGTTCGTGTGCGCTGGGAGGCGTAGTGTATAGCTTCTCGCGCAAACCGGGTCCATCTGCAGTACGTTAGAGTCGGTCCTACCTCCCCGCAGGGTTCAGGTTTTTAGGGGCTGGAGATTGTGCCATGGTAGAAGAACGAAGAAAAACTAGTTCTACTGTAGTGTAGAAATAGTTTTCAACCAGCAATTGACGCGTCACAGTTTCACTTCATTAACTGCGTCATTGAGAGAAGAACATAAACTCCTCGGTCGAGCAAACTATTGTTGATCGCATTACAGGTAATTTCTTACATAAGGATTTGCGATTTGGGGTTGGATTTCACGGATGGTAATACAAAGAAAAGAAAAAAACACATTCAATTCCAAATTAAACTCCAAATTAGTGTTCTTATTAGGTTTTTTTTTAATCTTACGGAAACTACATTTACATCGATGGAATGGAATGTCATCTTCAACATCAACTTGAATTCCTGACTATGATCACTATGTAGTGTTCGTTTTGCTGGAGATTTTACTTTCGGTTTGTACAAAGTTTCTGTTTATGTTTCTTCGTGAAAGTCAAGAACGGGAAGAAAGTTGCCGCAGATTATAATAGATCAAAATGTGAAAAAGAAATTTGAAGTAAATTGTAGACCAGAATACAACACAATGAACCATTTACTTGTTAGCAGTGGCGTTTTCGGGAATAGCTTCACACAAGCTACGTGAAGTTGCCAAAGAAAGATTTTACGAGAATAAAAGAGGAAATTATGACTATGGATCTCAAAAAATGGAGCAATTCACAATCTTCAACTTTTTCGGGCGTTTCGGAAATTTCTTCACCTCTTTCCTTCAATTTAATTTCCTTACAATTTTCCCATAATGATTTTTATCGGACTTACACACTTTCTTCGGTAGTTCATGTTATTAACGTTGTAAAAGAGTTACATCCACGGTAGTACTTCCTTATGCAGTTCCCAATTTCCCACAACATTCTGGAATGCGTATTTAAGAGACCTTCCAATGAACGAGTTCTTAGGCATTGCTGCATTGTGGTCCTGTCACTTAATTCTATTGCAGTACAGTGTAGTACATTCACTTGATTTTATTATTGCCGACAGCAATCATAACGATGTGCAAATTGTATTAAGATCAATTGAAATCAACTAATCGGATTAATAAATATACATGGGTATCTGGTGCTTGCTCGTACAAGCATCGATCAGAATGGCGTTTAATAGTGCTTTATGTCGCCTCTAACCTTAAACTCGCCGTTCTTAACCGAGTAACTAAGCATTACTCTTTTCAATAACCTTCATACTTGTCCGGGTCTGAGATTATTGCAATATTGCGAGCTGCTCTTGGCTCAAAGTTTCATGATAATGCATGAAATTTAAAGCGTATGATGCAGGAACATCCAAAATGTAAAACGTCGAATCTTATTATCCCTGTCTGGACCAATATCATACCAGTAACAATTAATGTTTATTTTAAGTAACATATGGTATATTTTGGAACAAAATTCGGATAATTTCATCATTTGAAATTCTCTTACATATCTGTTAATGGAATTAGTTTATTTTTCTAGTCATTTTGCTCTCAAAACTTAGATCAAAATATACATACGGTTAACCAGCCTTGGACTTCTATGTTGTCTTAATCCAATGTTCTTAAACGGTTGAGCCCATTGAAATTTGTAACAGTTAGCACTTTTCCACAAAAATATTACTAAATGCTTCAAAAAGAAGCATTCAAATTATTTTAAGCTATGTACCCGGATCACCCTGACTATTGCCAGCATAGGTTGTTATTGTTGAAATTGGGTTTTCTTTTCTTACAAATATTTTTTGTTCAGTCCGTTGTTTATGTATAAAGATGTTCTGTTCTGTATTATGATTATCAGTCAAAAAAACAAAAAGTCGAGATCCGCAAGCTCTTATCATTTCTCTGCCTTGAAAATTCACCGCTTTATCCTCATCGTCTTCGGATACGATGGTTCGGTTCAACTTTTTTTGTTCGGTAGTTTCGGTAGACGTAGAATCCGAAAGTGCAGTACTGGAGATGTGAGGAGGTGCTGCTTCCTTTCCTTCTTTCCGTTTCAGTGGCTCTATGACTAATTTGATCCGGCATATAATTATGATCGTAAATGTCCGGATTGTGTGTACACATTGTAATGCAATGGAGCCAAAGGCTAACAAGCCACGGACTTGGGAATAGGATGAAAGTAGTTGGGAGATCGAAAGCCAAGAAGAGAGGAAAGAAAAGAGACTGGGCACTGAAGACTAAAAGAACAGGGAAAAAGAACCCAAGGCACTTACATATGAAAATGGACAAACCTCAAAGTATTCCACATTGATGACCAATATTTTATATAGGTTATGTTAAGATCGTCAGCCTTACTGTATTGCACCAGTTATTGCCCTCTTTTCTACAAAATTGTTCCCAGATATACAAGCTGAGCATTGAATTGTATGATAGACTGAGGTTTCCATATGTGAGATCCTCTCGTTACTGTCGTCACAATAGAGAAAAAGCCAGCTCTATAATGTTACTCTCCTTTCTCCATATACATATTTCTTTATTTACTATTGAGAATCAAACAAAGTAGCCGTATGGTCAAAAGTAGTAATAGATTACAATCACTTCGAAAGTAAATCGATTTACAAACACACAAAAGGATGAAAAATTGAAAACGTCCATTTAGGCCTCCATAAAGTATGTACATTGTTTGCATGAAAGAAAAAATTATTATTTCGTTTGCATGCAGAAAGTTGGAAAGACGAGAGAGAAGCACCTCGCTTTTTAGTCTCCAAATATCACCATGTAAAAGCCACAAGAAGTCAATCTTTGTTACCAGTTGAAGTTGTTATTTATAAGAGCATATAGTGGAAAGAACGTAAATAGTGAGTCGTATTTCAGTCAAATATAGATCAGAATCCAACTCGAGATCCACCAACAAATCTTTCAATGGCTAAAATGTAATTATAGATTCAGTTATTTTCACTCCAAAATTGTCAAGGGGACTTCAAGAAACTCAATACTGACGATTTTAAAAAGGTTATGAATAATGTAATTAATAAGTAGACCTACCAATAAATGTGTATTTTATCGATTCAGATAAATTAAGACATTGATAATGAGGATCTGTAACATAGGTTTATAGATGAATGCTTTTACTGCTTGAAAATCAAATAATCGTGTGGATGCTTTTTCTTGAATCCGCTTTATCAGTACATTCTTCATCCACGTTACATTAAGTCAGTGCTTCTGGGTGTATTATTTTCATACCGCGATCTGAGATAAAAAAATTATTTAATCTAAACATATGAGAACAAGTTGACTGACGGATTAGAAACTGTTTATCTTGTAATCAATTGAATATTTTCATATTTGGAACTGATATTCATAAATATATAATACGAAATATTTACATATCATTAACCCATTTAAAATCAATAAATTTTGAATGTGTTCTTTGAATAAATTTTGCATACTTTCGATCTGAAAAATGTTTCCTATGATTGGATTCCTAGGAAAAAGTGAAATGAGGTACACAAACTTAGCAAAAGATGAGTTAATTCGTCAACTATAAATTTCGCATGACGAAGTTATCTTCTCACATGCAATTGTGATACATGTTTATCCTGTAATCTATAAGCTCTTTCTATTTTGAGGATATAATAATCTGCAAAAAGGAGATGAATAATTCAGCACTATGGACTTTATTCATAAATTTATAAAAATTCAAGTATAAAGCTCCCACTGAAAGAAGTATGAGTTTTTTATTCCACACATTAGTAATTATTTTCAATGTTTTTCCATCATGATTCATAATTTCCAAGAATTTATCCATATTCTTATAGAATATTTTTCATCACAACAGTGAGTATTATAAATTATCAACCCGCTGAAGTTCTGCTGTAATTTTTGCGTCTTTCGCTGTGATTTGCATTATTTTTTTATCCATCAGACACTCTTCTCCATCTATATTAAGAAAAATATTGAAAAAAATCTGCAATATAGATTTCCAGGGGGGAATTTTCTTACATAGGAAGGTGACTCCCCCTCCACCCTTTACATTCTTCTTTCCTCAGGTTATTTGCACGTACAGCATCTTTTTCATCTTTTCATTGCGATTTTTGGCCTTCGATCACACAGCTCGCGATCAAGCAAGGATTTGTTTTGACCATGAACGGTGATCCTATAACGAATATTCTATATAGATCCTATATAGAAAAGAAACGGATATGAATACCCGTCAAACATTGGAAGGAAAGGAAGCTAAACAAACACACACGCTTTGTCGAAAGCTCCACTCGATTTTATCTAACTGGTGTGTCGTCCTTAGGGCGATGGTGTAGGTACACATCGTGCACGACCTACGAGAGCGGTGAGAAAATGATAGAATCTGATCTAGTGCGTGAGAGAGGGATACACCTTACGTCTTGCACGTGGTCACTGTCCTAAAACGTTCATTGTGTAGTGCTGGAAGGAATGTAGTTTGGCAACGCTACAACTGTGTGGCGATGTCCTCTACTACTAATCCATATTTGGCCAGAGCCATTCGAGTCTGCATATGTTGAGTAATATTCATACGTCTGTCATGGTCATCTCGGTGTGGAAATGTAAAGATAATCTTCCTCGACGAATAGTATGAGACACGGGGACAACTCCCACATTTCGAGCGACGCGACCTTCGTGTTCGGGTCACGTCAGCTTTGACGGGACGACCCTCCATCCTCTAGAGAAGGGCTTTAGTAGCACACGGGTTCCCAGCGTGACGTTCCTTACCTCGGACTATGTGAGTCACAACAGTCGCTTGTACGAAGTAAGCCTCTGCTTGAGGTTAACATACACTTCTATGTGTGTTAACATACGAAGACAAACGTCTCAGTTGCAGGGCTCTTGACAGACCCACGTCGAGGATCAGGAACGCGGAAGATTCGTTCCGATCATCGTCTACATTCAGCTGAACAGAAATAAATTCCTTCCAAGACTTGGTTCCGACTTGGCTCGAGTTCAGCGGCACATGGAAGAATGATTCTCCATATGGGACCATACTTTGAAGTGTAATGGCTGGCTCCACGCACTTGTTCAATGACAAGTTCGTGTTCATACTTCGGCATAGCCGATGGAGATTAACAGAAAGCGAAGGGCTCGCGTGCTAACGAGCGAATCCCACCCGTCCGCGGCGAAGGATCAGTGCTATACCAAAGGCCGTAGTGAAGACCTAAAAGGCCCCTTCAACAGAGCGGGATCTTTCCTCGCCCTTTGTGGGTCCTCATGGCTTCCGAAGTCAATCAGGTTAGGCTAGGCAAGTGGCAATCCCATGTACAAATAAACCGGGTATACAACATTTACCTTCACTTTGCTGAGCGAGCTGGAATTCCGGGTTCATCTTGACAGCAAAGTCCGGTGGGCATTATCCGGAAGAAGAATCATTCTGCATAGACGGTAAGGAGAACCTTGGGACCGTATCCGGAAACAAGAAGCAACTTGTGATGACTAGAATTTGGGAGAAACGCCGCGAGAAAAACGAATCGAGAGCAACTTCTTTCATCCAGATGACTCGACACACCAACTGAATCACTAAACCCTAAAACATTGGCTGCAACTGTGAACAACAGGACAATCCAGAGGTAGCACACACTTCCTATGGTGAAAGTAATCCACAATCACTCAAAGCATAGGCGGAAGTCCGGGACACACATTTGTGATTTGAAGAGATGAGTATTAACAAGTCGGTATCCACATCCATTTTCTGTAGACAAGGCGGACCAGACAATAGCTGGTGGGGTACAGGAACCTATCTTCACAGTCAACCGAATGATAACTGAGAGAGGAGGACCTCGGCTAGACAGGACCGTTGAAAGATAGAAGTAGGAACTTCCCGGCAAGGTAAAATACAAAAGGTACTAGAAAATTAGATTTCAGAGGACTCCCGAACAACTAGATAGTTTATGGTGGGGAGAATTCCCAAAAAATATCCTGATGAGGCTTATCTCAATGTCAACATCGTGCGTAACTAATTGATGTTGTACAGGGCAATAATGCTACTTGGCATCAATTTCAGTCAATGTAAACCGGCAAATACAAGAACGCGATTGATCAAGGCTTGGGAAGAGAGTCAGCCCGGTGTCATTTCGCAGCAGATGTGCTGAATCGTGTACAAACCCCGGCCTAAGAATGTGTTGCTGAGGGCAAAAACCAGTCTCTAACCCAGTTTGGCAAGGAGACTTTAAGACCAACCGGCTTTCACAGCGCCAGTGAGCGTAACAGTACACTATCTCCCTCTTCCCCTACTTCCATCAGATCTGACCCAGCAGAGTGCAGGTTCATTGGTCGTAAGAATTTGGTGATCTGAATGTTTTCTTATTTGGACTGAATAGTAACACAGCATTGAACTTAAGTTAGAACCACTATGGACCTAAGGCACACTGGCTAGGAAAGTTGATGCCTCCTTAACTTCTCTTTCGGAAATTTTACCACTCTCTTCCACATTGCTGCTTCTATTGCCCTAACTGAGATTCAAAAAAAATAGGAAAAAAAAAGGCCCAACCTGACTTAACAACTGCCCCTATTGGACACAAAAACTGACAAGTCAGAAAATCTGCGGCACCCTCCCAAAAAAGACCTCTGCTTCATGGAAAAAACCACTCTAACCCTCCCTCCCAATTGCCCGCCCGTCCCCCACCCTCTCTCTTCCTCTCTCTCCCTTCAAGTTGACCGGAAGGATAGAGAATGGCTCGTTGAAAGCCCACAGCCTTATGCAATAACCGAAATGAACCCGTGTGGAAAACTTGATGAATTTCAACTGGCTAACACTACGCTATCAGTGCATTATATCTGAATGTGCCACCATGCCTCTCCTGCTCCGGGCAGCCCGTCGCCCTAATATTCTTCAAGAAACTATCTCAACATTGTTGTTCTCTTCCGGTGCCGCCTTTACTTGTTCCCTCCCTGGCCTGCAAGGATCACAAAAAAATGGCGACAGAGGTTACAAACGTCAGGCGTACTTATGAGACACCACCGACTCGGACGACAGACCAGCAGACGAGTCAACACCAACTTCAGACCCGAACACATTACACGGAAGGCAGCGCAGAACATAAACAAGAGTGTGGACAGCACCTGTCCTGCAGATCCACATCGAACTTCCGCCAGTCCCTGTTGCCCCTGTCCTCATAGGAGTCTCGCTCTCGTGGCCTCGCGTCTCCAAACGGGCTCACCCTCGACCGTGATTTCGGAAGGCCTTCCCCGGCGCCAACTTCGGGAGTCTGAGGCCTGCTGGAACGGCTCGAGTGACTGCTAGAAGGCCTGCTGAACTTCTCGGCCTTCGAATCAAATTCGGCGTCGAGTTTCCTCCAATCCTGACCCTTCTCGGCAAGGACGTCCTCGCGGGGGCGGGCAGCTCCGAACGGATTGGATCTAGGTTTGGACTTCGCAACGACGCCATCGCCCATGAGAGAGTTTTCGGACACCGCTACCGAGCGATCTGAACGGGTAGAGTGGGAGGAATGGGGCCTTTCGTTTTCGCCATTGCGGTCGATGAGCAGGGGCAGAGTCAGAGCGGTTTCGACAGGAATTGAACGGGGCTGGAGCACCAGGCGGCGTCGCTCAGCTGGCCTAACTAAGTCATCCCGGGCGGACGGAGCCTCGCGCCTGGACCAGCGATCAGCTTCAGGGCCTGCATCCCTGTACGAGGTATCGAATCCGCCACCACCGCCGCGGCGCTCGGGAGGGGCCGTGGTCGGCATGGACTTCTTGGCTGCGCCCCAGTTGGACACTTCGTCGGCGCGGGAGATTCCCCCGGGGGCATCTTCGAACCCTCCTCCGCTCCTGCGCTCTTCAAATCCACCGCCTCGTCCGCCCCGTCTGTCGCCGAATCCTTCCACGGGCGCGGGCACGGACTTCTTGGACGTCCCCCAGTTGGCGTCCTCGTCGGCCCTCGATGGGAGATCGCGATCGCTCATCCGTCCGCCTCTGTCACTGCGATCGTCGTCGTAACCTCCGCCACCTCTGCCTCCACCACCGCTCCCGACGTAGGAGGACGGCAAGGAGGTCTTCTTGGAGGCGCCCCAGTTGTCTGCCTCGTCTGCCCTCGAGGGCCCATCGTCTCTTGGATCCCTGTCTCGACCCATGCCCCGACGCTCTTCCCTATCCCTATCAAAACCACCACCGAACCCTCGTTCGCCACGAGGTTCGCGATCACCAGCCCCTCTGTCGCCAAAGCCCAGGCGCCCACCTCCGCCCCTGTTACCTCCATAGTCGCGGAACCCTCCGCCGAGGCCTCCGGCTTCAATTTCTTCATTGGTCCTGTCTCGAGGTGCCGTGGGCAGCATGAACATCTCCTCGGTGGTGAGACGCTGCGAGTCCGAGATCTGGCGAGACTTTCCGCCGGGGCCGACATGCGTACCAGTCGTGAACTGGGAGATGCTCAACGTAGTCGCCTTCTTCTTCTTGGGCTTCGTGGCGACCGATTCGACCAACGATGGAAACGCCTCGGCGGGTAGGGATGTGGCTCCCTTCATTTTGGCCTCGGCCTCTGCTTGCTCTGCCTCTTGCGCCCATGATCCACCCCATGGCTTCGCCATATCCTTCCGCCACTACCGTCCCTTCGATTCAACTCTTCTTCCCTGCAGACGAGACTTCCTCCACCGGGTCCGAACGACGATCCTCTCCTCCGCTCCCGCGTCCGCCAACGAAAACAGCCTCGCTCTCGCGCTCGTCTCGTCGCCCCAGTTGCAAAAACCTTATCGAAGAACGAAGAGCAGGCAGGCCGTGCGTCTGCCTGCTGCTGGAAGGCAAGCAAAGCCCTCGTGCAAAAGACGACCGATATCTTGAGTTCTCGCCCATCAAGCCTCCCCAAACTTGTCCTCCTGGCCGGGCAGTCGTGCCACGCTGCCCGCTGCCCGCCCCGCCCCTTGCCCCATCCATCCCCCCATCGCACCCCATGCATCCCCTTCTATCATTCCGATCATGCCCTGCCAGAGCATGTCCTCACCGTTCCCGCTCTCCGCCCGTCCACGCCTGACACATCAGGACCCTACGATAATAGGCGTATATCGCAAATATCTGGCCACCCCTGGCGTCCGATCGCCATCTCACGGCTCCGAAAGCGTCCAAGTAGTTGCGAGGTCGCTCTGCAGTCGCCGATCATGCAATTTACGACTGATTGATTGAAGAATCTCCTCCCTAAATAGAGGATTCTCGACCGGCTCCGGCCGCGCACCGTCAGATCTCGCATCGTGCGGCGCTGAAAAAATCCAGCACTCCTCCTCCTGTCGTGAATGCGTAGAATCATGCCGCCATGCCATGGCATACATGCGCTTGCCATCTCCGAGCTCCTCCCATTCCGCCTCATCCTCTGTACGTGTGAGTCTGCCAGTCCGCCACGGCTCTACTCCGTCCGAGCCTGTGGGCGACAACGCCATCCTCGTTCGGCAGAGCGACGTATGGAACCCCGGCTCGACTCTTTTAGGGTTGCGTCTCGCAGGATTACGTGATTTTTACGTCCGTTCTTTCCGTAAAGGCGATCGGAGACAGACGCTTTAGGGTTCAGGACGAACCAGGAGGCGTGCGCAAAATTTCCGATCCGATCACTCCCATCACGAAAGACAGACGGTTGAGAAGTTCGGTACTTTGCTGTAAAGTTCCTCCTCTCGCGCGATCCATCCTTCCTCCGCTTACAGGTTCGGCCTCTGGCAGTTGTGACGTTCGTCCTACTCCCCGCTCCGGTCAACACTGCGTGAACTCACATTCCGCAGTTGTCTCTTCGCGGGGACTCAACCGCATCCCTAAGCCCGATTGATGCGATATCCGGCCCATCCCCTCTTCTTTTGCCCCGGGAAACACCCCTACGACGACTGCAGTCCCTACTACGGCCTCAAATTCAGCACAGTGAGAGTAACCATGTGCTCATTTCCCAAGACTCTCGTGACCTCAGATCGACTTTTGCCGACCGTCGCCCTTTCTTTTCTTCTGTTGAAGTCGAGTTTCTCAAAAGATTTCCTCTCGCATGTTCCTCGACTTAACTTACACAGAACGGCTCTCACCGAAAGCTCCAACTTGTACGCTCTGGCATGAGAGCGAAGATGCGCTGGACGACATAATCTCTTCCTGCAGTTGATGTGACTGGAACATGACAAATCTAGTCCAGTGGTACCACGTTACGGCCCCAGGTAGCCCTCGCGTGCTTGAGGTCTTCTAACTGTCTTTGACAGCCTCTCACCGTCTGTTTCCCCTTTGTCTCGTCGCCCCAATCCTGGCCCCGGTCTCATCAGCTCGTACCGCAGAGGCCCTGAGCGTCCATTCGCGGGGCGACAAACAGTGATGAGTGTTCGGCGAAAAAGGGTCGGGATCATGGAACCGACTCTACTGCCAGTGGGGTCAATTCGAGCCCTCTTTCTGCGACGGGGTCTATAGGGGAATGAGGATAAGAAGGTTGCCCGTATCGAATCTTCAACTTAGGGTTTACTTGTTCTTCCAGGAATTGCTAGAATCCTATCGGACAGCCTCCAAATATACGTTTGTGTCCAAAGACTCCCGTAAGAAGCATATTCTATTATCGGACGTAGAAACCTACCATTTTTCATTCGTGAAACAGCATATTTTTCGGACATCGTAACGATCATGGTTATGAATGGTTCTGTGAGCAAGACGCACGAATCGAATCCATTTTCTCGGACTATGAATTCCAAATTTTCATAACTTATTTGAAGTGCTGTACAGTATAAGTGCACACTGCTATAAACGCATCTTCGTTTTAAAATATACAATTGCACCATATTTATTTATTTATTTATTTATTTATTTATTTACTTACTTACTAACTTACTTACTTATTTATACACATCTTCTCTCCTTCTCTCTAGGTTAGACAGTCACAAACAACGGCATCAACATGACCGGATTGGTTGTTACTATTATAATTTTCTTTTGAAGAAGGGGAGGCAGCATGGTAACATAACATGCAATGATCTTTGTAAATTTATAGATATAGATTCAACAATAATTGGGAAAAAAAAGTCTTTATGATAATTAAGACACATAGACCATGAGAGAAAGCGAACCATACCAATTAATTTAATATTTCCTGTCAGCTCCTTACCGATTATACTTTGATAGAGAGATTGTTCTCTTATAAACTTTTATTTCTATAGAATTAATTATTCAAAGTGTTGATAACCTTGTCATTGTACTCCATCATGAAAATGGTTTATAAAAAGACTATTCAAATTGAGTCAGGTATGCACTAGTTAACCATCTCGTTTTGATTTATATATTTTTTGCTACAAGTATGTTGATATCAGACTAAGATGGGAAATCTGTTCTAAAATGCAGAGCATATCAAATGATGAATGAGATGTGATGCTTTTGTTATATCGCCATGCCTCAAGTTCTTACGCTATCATCTGTGATTAAAAGAAAACCGTGTGGTTTCATACAAGATCAATCCATAGATCGTATATATATATATATATATATATATATATATCTTATGAGTAATATAAATTAAAAACTGAAGAACATCTATAATCATAAATCATCATGATTTAACTAATTGGTATCAAGTTTTTGCAGAAATTTACTATATTGCACAAATTTTTCAATATATGTTTTATATTGTTAATTCTATTCAAATTAATAAACATCTATAATTTTACGCAAAAATATCAAAAAACGGTGTAAAGGTATTTACAATACGAGCAAATGCTTTTTATATGAATGTTTATATCAACAAAATTTTATTAATTTAAGTACACATCAAATAAATGCTTAAAGAACGATTTCAAATCAATCTTATATTAAAATATATTATATGCGTGTATTTTATCATGAAAAATTTGATGTTATGAAAACATATATTTTAAAAAAATATTATATTTTTTCTAAACATATAACCATATATATCGTCATTCTTTATGTTTCAAGAAAAAAAAATCATACGAAAAGCATGACATTTTACACATCACCTTCAACATTTGTTGACATATAGATAATTTGAAACGTAATAATCTATTTAAAACATCTCATAATTTTACAAATTTATGATAATCTTCAGTTCTATCAAGTTGAAATGCCAATTTACAGGATTTAAAAAAATTGCTTTTTTTTAACACATATCATACTACTAAAATGGATATCTGTTGTTCTCAAATGCAACAAATATGTCTAAATTTGATATAATTTAGTTGAAATAATTTATTTCATACAAATTTATAAAAAATACAAATTTTTAAAAAGAATAAATTAAATCATAATGAACAATAATAATTAGTTGCAATTATATAGAATCAGTACAAGTGATTGAATTATGTGCAATCTATCAACATCAGATTTGATATTAGATAGTTGGAATTTTTTTTTCAAATAATCATACATACTTGAAAGTGTTGTTAAGTATCACTCAAGATAAAGACTAAAACATAAATTTAATTTAATAGATTATATATATGTTTGATATTTTGGGAAATCTAATATACTTAATCTATTGAACTGTATTATTTTACTCAAACGTGAAATATTTTGAATGTAATCAATCTTATGAAACATTTATTTGATTCTATATAATACATCTCCATTACAAATTTTTTTTTATATATGGAAATTTCATGAATCATATATATATATATATATATATATATATATATATATATGCACCTTTCTGATAAACATGTTTGATAAAAAAACAATATATTTACAGTTTGATTTTTGGAATTGCAAATCTGTCAAAAATAAGTCAGAATATGATATTTATAAATTTAGATAATTACTCTCATTAATTAATTAATTAATTTCATTATTTTGAGTGCGGATTTTTAAAAATTTGAAAAGAAATCCATAAAAAAATCAACAAATTTTATTCGTAGATTAATCCATACTTTTCCTTATTTTCATCATCAGCATTTCAAACAAATTGGAAATTTTATACGAAATAAAAAAACCAGCATATATATAAAATATTATAATATTAATATTAATAAATTATTATACAATTTCAAGTGAAATTTTTGTTTATATATTTAAAATATTATATATATTTTAATATAGTTATTATAATTTTTTATACACATTAATATTTTAGAAATTGTTTTTAAGTTTAGAATGAAATAAAATTAGATAATACATTGCAACTGAAATCAAAAACTTGAATCTGTTTTTGATTCATAAGAGGATATCTTTGCTAAAAGTTGACAAAATATATGCATAAACAAGTTTGCTTTTTATACAAATTTCACTAGCAAATTTGTTGAAACATTTTAAAAGCCAGGCTTTTAATTCAAAGTTACATCTATATACTAAATTGCGAGATCATCAAATAAATATATAATTGATATGTTTATATTTATAATATGATTTAATAAATTTAACTTTAAATAATTTTAATTGTTTTGAATGAGTATATTCTTTGACTCATGATAAATATCATTACTCCATTCCAGATATGATAATGTGACATATTATATTCACATTTATATTGTACCTACTTGTTGACCATACAATTTAAAATAAATGTAATATACAAATTCCTATTTTAAATACGTTTTATGATGTAAAATACAAAGAGCTAAAATATTTACCAACAAATATTCACATGAAATTGTAGTGAAAACATAAAAAAACAAAACCTATAATTTACCTTTACACAATCTTGTTCTATTTAATAATGTATCAGTAGGGTTATAGTATATTTTATTTATATTTTGAATGTTGCCAATAAATGTTGCCAATATTTGATTATAATATCATCATATTTATATAGTTATGCTATTCATATATTTCCATTAGACGCCAATATAGCTAATTGAATTTAATTGCTTGCTTGTAGCTATCATATTGAGCTATACATTCAATGTTATGGAATATTTAAGTATAATAAAATTGCATATCGAATATTTTATTTTGAAAACATTGATATATCTATAAGCAAATCATTGAGATAAGTTGAGTGCACAAAGCGTATGCTTATTGCGTTGAGTTGTTTCCATGTCATTTTGTAGGTCACAAAGCAAATTGAGTGCATATAATCTTCTTCATAATGGCATTGGTGCACAATGAAGGCAAAGAGTTAAAATTGTATGCCATATCTAAAAATTTCACAATTGTTGTATGGTAGTAAAAAATCAGTATGTTAACGGCTTATTAATTAATTTAATTTTCCGATCATTTATGAAAATATTTGCTTTTTCCAATTAGAAACTGTCCATTAGATTAAGATTATTCTTATCTTGCAGTTTTAACCGGATTGGTCTCGAACGATTATACCATCCGTCCATTCTGCAGTCATATAATTTTAAACAAAGTTTGGTTTGAGGCCCAAAACTAGAATGAAAGAAGAACGATCGTGTGGAAATTCAGAACCACAAATTACAAGTGTTGCATTTCGAGATAACGGATCATAATATAAAAACATATTATATCTGAATTGGAACTTTTCTAGCTCCTTCCTTCAATCTTTGCTTTCTGAAATTACTTCGAGTCACTTTACTGACCCCGTTGATTGTTGGGGCTTTTCAGGTCAACATTTTCTCGTGGATGCATGAAAGAAATGCTACGAAGTTCTTTCATCGCCCATATAGAGAGCGTAGGCCAGTGAAGAATGATGCATGCCATCGTCATCATCACCATCATGGCGATGCAAACAAGACGAAGCATAAAAGTTACTGGAGATACTTCCAGGAACGTTCAAAGAATATGTGTGCAGAAGCCTCATGGATCAGAGGGCCCCCATCGGGTCGAGGTGCCTTCTTTTCAAAGCATGAGTTAGACCAGGAGATGTTTAGCATCGAGGAGTATAGCGAGCGAGTAAATACAGGAACACCCATCGGATAAATGGAGGGAGCCTCAGTAGCATCGCAGTGAGATCAAGGCGCGATGTGGCCACGGTGAGATGGGCGAGGCTGGGGCTGGGGCGGGGGCGGGCTTGGGCTCGGGCTCGGGCTGACCAGTTCGCCTCGAAACGTTTACGAGAATCTTCCTGTTGCGTAGTTTTGCAACCACACCAGCAGCGACTAACTTGTCTACATGTAGCTAGTCATCTGGAGCTGACTCACTGCCACTTGAAGCATTATACGGCCATCTCGCAAATCTAGGAGGGAGGTTCTGACTTCGGGACAGGGCGAATATTATATGTGTTACCACACACGAACTGGCCGAATCGGTCCATTAGTCAATATTCTCCTGCAGAACACCGACCGGGTGTTGTTGGTTGGAGCCGCGCGTGAACAGAGCGGCGAACCGCCTCTACGGAATGAATGATCGATCCCCGTCTTCTGCGAGAGGCGGGAGGCCGAATATGCCACGGTATATGCCACCGCATGTTAAACTCGCGCATTTCTTGTCGTCGAGGTCACTCTTGCTGATATATTGCCGGCGTTTGTAGCTTTCACTCTCGGTGCCACCAAATTCACGCCCTGTTGAACACGTCAAAGTCTTGCTTCGTACTGTGGGATCTCTGGCTTTACTGTATTGATCTCTCACCATCACGATGTGGCTGGCTGTTCTTGCTCTTGAAGGAGGCTCTCACAGCGAGAGAGGTCTGAATCAATGCATTGAATTGATACTGAATACAGTGTAGATCTATGCCCCAGATTCGAGTGATCGCAGTCGAGACTTTGTCACGGTCACGCATCTGTGAACGTCCTCGTGGTTCATTCGGATCCGGCACCAGCCCCATTCTTCACAGTCACTTTCTAATATCGTGAATTTCTGCGTATAAAGGCTCGATTCTCAAAGAGGGAAAAACGCAGCGACCACTTAACTGGAAAACCTTCTCCCGTACGCAGGTCCCTATCCGCAGACAAGTCGAAGAGATGCGTCTCCTTCTGGTGTAGCTGTACCATCAAACAAAGAAGAAAAGCAGAACATTCTTGATCTCCTAGTTTCCCACGACCGTCGAGTTCCGGCCTGTACTCAAGATCGATGCTCGGGCCTTGGACAGCGACAATTCCGACAACGACAACTCCGCGCGAATTTCCAACCGCAATGTGCATCGACTTTCTCGGACTCTCCTCTTGGTGACACCTCGAACAGACTCGACGCAACTCGTACTTCAATGAACCGCCGACGCACGATAGATGACCTTCATCCGAAACACAGACGCGAACAGCGTCGAGGCATTTACCGCAACGTAGTGCGATAACACGAAGAAAGTACTGTATTTTTGAAAGAGACGTATGAAACGCGAACACAATCGCTATTCGCATCGAAAGCACCTGAAAAGAATTCCGAAGAAAATTCCAGAGCTTTCGGGAATTCGTTGTCAGCTCTAGAGACTCCAGAGAGCAGAGAGCCCAGAACCCAGAGCCCATTCGGGTGACCGGTTACCGAACCCCGTCGCATGAACCCAGCAGGTCAAAACCGCCATCATGCTCAAAGCTGTGAAACCAGCGGTCTCATCACTGGGATTCCCGGAGTGGTTTAATCGACGACTCATGAGCATGCAACTTTACCTACGCTGCCACAGGCCGTCGATGGGAGACGGAAGCGGAAAATAATATTTCGGAGAATCTTGCCCCGGATGTAGCGAAACCGGATAAGCTGAAACGGAAGGGGGCCTGTGCGAGTGACAAGTCAGAGCGCGCCTCGGATGTGGACAGAGTCTCCGGAAGCCGCGCCAGTGGAGCTCAGACGAGAAAATCGATCTCTCGAGACGAGCGAGAGACGGACGGAAGGAGAGGATAAGCACGGCGGAGGACAGCTGCGAGAACATTTAGAATTCGCGTGGAGAGGCGTGCGAATTGGGATCGGGAGCTATGGCCGCACTCTCCTTCAACCTCTTGAGTGCCAGGTGTTGCTGTAGAGGTTCTCTTTCGTCTTCGTCGTCGTCGCCCTCGACTTCGCAAGCTCACCCCAATGCGCGGTCGCCAGTTTCAGCTCCGGCTCTCTCCGGCCGTTCTGCGGCCAGCGGTGTGACGATTTCGGGAGCAGAATCTGACTATCGCGCTCCGGTACGTTGTGGGGTGTTTCCTTGTTTTTTGAGCACATTGCGTCCAGTGCTGTGAAGAATTGTGTTTCTTGATGTCGATTCCTATTCCGATAGACGTCGACGGAGAGAATCTGTGAGAATCTTACTTTTGAAATCTTTTGAACTCATTCTTGATCGAGTGATTATAAATTGGTAACATTCGTCTGTAACCTCCTATATCTTAGCAGTGAGAACAATTATGAGCTCGAATATTAATCACTCGTTGTCCAAGACAAACTTTTGATATCTTGCTCAGAATTCGTTCTCTCTTGGCTCATCAGTAACCCTTGATTATGCTGACAACTTGTCCACTGTGCTTGAAAGAGTTGACGCCAGCCTACTCGAGAATCGCTCTTTCATAGTAGGATATTTCAGCGTCGAGGAAATTCTTGTTAGCCACTTAGATGAGGCTTTTTTAAAGGATTTGTGTAGGTGCTGTATTCAGCAGTGTAACTGATAATTCTTCACTGCCGGACATACATATAACAGGTGAAAAATGACGAAGAAAAATCCGAATTTTGTTTCGCTAAAGCTTGTACGAAATTGGGCCTCATTGGTTTAGCTGCAGCAGCCATATGCTACACAAATCCAGCTCTTGCCTACAAGGTGCGTAATGCTGTTTAGTCTCAAAACTGTCTACGGTCATTGTTGTATTTCCCATGTGTTACATTCCTTCCGGGTTTCAAGGACTCCAAGAGGAGACCCAGGTCACTTGAGCACTGAAAGAGCTTGCAGCTAACTTAGTTCTGCCTTGTAGACACCTGTCACAGAGCTCTCAAGTCTCAAGTCATCTATTTATTTGGACTCGAAGCAGAAGTCTTTCTGCTTCGGCAACCTACCTATATATAAATATCGGAGAAAAGGAGGTAATCTAGTGAGTAATTCCATTTAAATTTCCCAACGTCTCAGACGGAATCTAAACATGATTGCTGCCATCCCTCATTTTTGGGGGTCCATCTGCGGGTTAGAACAGCTTGCAAGAGTAACAAATTCTATGTCATGGCAGTTTGGGAACGAACCAATAAGTTCTGGACTGGTGTGCTGGTTCAGATTGATACTATCCTCATTTGTTTCAAAACCGTAGAGAACATCCTAGCCATGAGAAGGCCGATAGTACAGCCGGCTGAGGTATGTCCCTAGGTGGAACGCCTGACTTGTAGTTGTGATTCTTGCTCACAGGGTGGAGGCCCATATGGCATGGAAGTCACGAGGGGTCAAGACCTTAGTGGGAAGGACTTCAGTGGTAAAACGCTTATCAAGCAAGATTTTAAAACGGTATGTCGTCTACCATTTGGCTATGTTTAAGACCTCCTAGCCACACTGGTCGCTCTACTACCATGGACTTCAATGTCAATGATCTACTGACATAATGTCTGGTCGTTTTTATACAACATGTGGACAACGAATCTACAAAATTCTGCTGTGTGAAGGAACTTTGCGTAGTCGATTGAAGTTAGTCTCCTCGGTCTCATTATTAGCAAGGACATTACGAAGACATTACCCCATGATGATTCTAGTTTGTACCGTGCTCTCTTACATTCCTTAACATCATACTTCATCGCCCTTAACTGCGGTACAACATTAACTTGATCTCTGACGAATTTTCGTAAGCCTGCCGTCTTATAGACTTCAATATTCCAAAATGGGTAACCATGTACCATTGATCTACCAACGAGATTCAATAAACGACAGTAATCATTTTGAAATGGTAAGAAACAACGTTTTAGAAACGAAGAGAGGATGGGATTAAATGGCACAAAGTAAAGAATCTCTAGGAACTGTACAATCCTTACCAAATTCTCATTGCTCTCAATACAGTGTGAGCTAGGATGAAGCGTTGTCAGCCTTCAATTGATCATGGAACAAAGAAAAAATAATTTATGATCTAAGTGTGACTACTGTCAGACTAATATTCGTCTATTGTTTCCATCTCTCATTCTTCCTTTCAAAGTTTCCTTAATAATTAGATTTCGAAACGAGTCATGTTCCTGTGTAGAGTTCTTCTCCCAGTCCTCACGGGTCCAAGTTTCAGCTTTAAATTGTATAGGAGAGTTGCACCCTGCAGTCTTCTTTCGAGAGGCTCTTGTAGGAATTACCAATCCTAAACCACCCATCTAGTTGAGCAGTGAAGTTTTCATCTTAGTTTTCTGCTTACAACAACACTATGCCTAGAGAGAAATCAACCTCGACATGTCATCATAGATTTGAAATTTGTGTTTTCTTCATTTAGTTGGAAATCACTGACAGTTTTTGATGCTGAAGCGCATGCCATAACTGCAACATAATGTTGGTACTCAACATATGCTCTACCAGTACCTAACAGCCATGTGGCAGTGTTGTTGGAGGTCAATTATCGTATACAACCATGGAATGATCTTAATCAACCAATCTATGACTGCCTGAGCACGTCAGTGTTTGAAACACGTTATGCCATGAACGCGAATGGTGCAATAGAATCCATGTGTTATAACATATGAATCCATGCAATATAACACATGGACTCTATTGCAACAATCCAGGGACGTAGAATAAAAGTTTGCCTTTACTTCCAGTTCGCACATTGGACCAGGAATCAATTAGTCCCTGACTTAAGTATGTACGTTCCCACCACATTGTATAATCAGCCGTGGAGTCAGTCAGTACACCTTGTCACGGCTTTCTGTACCAATCTAGAGAGGCCAAGGCATGTACGGACAAGACGATCAGACGAATCTGCTCTAAGTCGCCGAATTAACGGTTGGAATTCTTTATACGAAATTAGTGAGAACAAGATCACAAATCAAGTTAATAAATACTGCTGATGGATGTCCAACTGCAAACATCAGGCAATGATTATACTCCGTGATGAGATACGGAGTATTCGTCAGTTCAAGGTCGGTGACGCCGTGAACTGTTGTATTCCTGCCCACTGTCCTGAGCTGGTCTAGTGATCGATCATGGGTGAAGACGAAAGACAGAATTTCCTAAGCTTTGTGTTCGTTACTTGATACCATGTTGGCCATCGTTTCATTCACTTCGAGAATGTCTGTGCTGGTTTCATCTCCTAGTCCCTTCCTCTAACCGTGGGGTCCTTCGGGATAAGCCAGGCGCAGAGATCACTATTTAGCCTTCCATGATTGTGTGATGCACCGAAAAGAAGTCTTTGTCTGCACATCTTTACGTATTGTGCGAAGGAGGTCATTCGAGTTATCCGTTGGACAGATAACTGCAATGATTTCCTTCGCACATTAAGTCATGTCATGTGATGAGGTCAACTTGTGCAGGATGAGTACCTTGTTTCGAAAGTCCGAGAAACACTGTTCAAATTTGTTCAATCGCTACTACACAGATACCCAACTTTAATACCGATTTGGTCAAAACTCTATCTTACACAGACGTTTGATATATCTGAGTTTGCTGGCCTCGTTCATGATCTCATAACAACTGCCTTCTGTGAGCAGGACTAGATTCAGCCGCTGCAAGTTGGTTCTGACCCTCTCCAATTCCTCGCACCAATCTTACACTCATATCCGGAGTAATGATTGGTATACACAGACTTATAAAAAGATCGAAAGATTGGAAGACGAGGGAACATACATGTGTTTTAGTAAGTCTATTGCCCGTGAGGCACGATACTAGATGTGACGATGGACTTTTGGCTGGTCCCAAGCCTCTTACCGACCCACTGGCATCAGCAGCAAAACTTGGTGGAAGGTTTCGGCTTCTTTTTGTGGGAAAAGTTCACCCAAAAAAAGTGAGGTTTCTACGATTTGACTTACGCATGCATTTGAGTTTCACAGAAATAGAGAAATCATCCTGACGATAAGAGTACGTGCTCTGACTATACTTGTTTGTTTATTACACGGGTTAGTGACATCCATACGAAGCATACGATTTCAACCATAAAACGCCTCATACCATCATAAATAAGCATCTTGTACAAACCTTTTAGCATTCTATGGTTTATAAGTTCGTATCTTTCTCTCATCCTTGTTTGAATACAGGTTACGTGGTGTGCAAGAGCATGACAGTTGCTCTTATCTTGGTCCTTCGGCCTGTTTAATCTGTGTTGATTCATCTAAATAAATTCGCATTTCCAGAGTCATGCCTTGCTTGCAGTTTTCTCTTTTACGACTCTAAGAGACTGAAATGATAAAGCAACTGGAAATAAAATTGAACCCTAAGGATATCAATTAAAAGAAACACAGCGAGTCTTCACAGAGCTAACCCAGCGTTTCTGTATAAAATTAGTCTGTTTTGTAGGACAAGATGGGTGGATTAGATTTCCTTGATCGGTGTTTTGTTCAGACTTCCTGTACTACTGATTGACATTGGAATAAGGATTTGTCAGCATTATCTTCCACTTGCATGTGCGTCTTTCATAGTCGCTTATCTTTCTCAAAATCCACTGTTTCATATCTGCTGTATTTCCAGTGCGTGTATCGGTTATGACTCCTGACCTTCAGTAGTTTGAGATGCCTTGTAGGAGAAGAAAATTTGAATAATAAATGACTAACTCCATTTATTTCGCGCTTGCAGTCAATCTTGCGACAATGCAATTTCAAAGGTGCAAAGCTGTTGGGAGCTAGCTTCTTTGATTCTGATCTAACAGGTTAGTGCAAATTGAAAGTATGTCTGATGATCTTAGTTGCTTCTCATTGTAACAGAGTCTTTCGGGTACCACATATACTAATCAGACTATTTGTTAGACCAAACCACAGCAGTCAAATCATTCCGACATTATTGTCGTAGGTGTTGTTTGACGTCCGCTCCGGTATTTTCAAGCTATACAGCATGAGCACCATAACTTATCTTTTCTCCTTCCTTTGTAACTTAACCCAGAGTCCCAGACGAACGTGCATTCTTGTGCAGGTGCCGACCTTACAGATGCTGATCTTCGTGGGGCAGATTTTTCTTTAGCAAATGCAGCAAAGGTAGCAACCCCGATGGAGTTAATGAGAGCTTGAACTCCTTTAAGTACATGTTAATAGCAATAATACTCGGTTTTGCTACATGTATATGTTTCGATAGATTTGTTTGAAGCTAGATGAGAGCTCTAGCACATTCCTTACATGCACGGTTCATGATGGGAGCAAAGTGGTTCTTGCGTTGAGACCTTTGAAATGCCACCTTTCAGGCGAACATGACCAACGCCAATCTAGAAGGCGCTACTGTGACTGGTAACACGTCTTTCAAAGGAACAATCATCACCGGTGCAGGTACATATTGTTCTTCTTTCTCTTTCTCAAATCAGATATCTCCCGAATATTTCCGACCTTCTAATCCTCCTCTATCTCCTCGATATTCTCTCTGTGGGGACACGGTGAAAGTAGAAGTGCCAAATTTTCGTTCACCCATATCAAAAGAGCAAGATCGGCAGCCATTGCACTGCGTTGACGGAGGACGAAACTCCCGTGCATTATTTGATAAAACGCAGCTCCTTTTCAATTTTGAGAGCAAAACAGTTTCATAACATGGATCTGCTGGTGGAGTCCGTGCTGTTTACAGATTTTCACCAGTCTTGATGTAGAGCCCAAAGCAGCCGCACTTTTTTAGTTATAGCTACTGGGGCTTTTGTGACCGGCAGGTGGACGATTTAGTAAAGTTATCCTTCGTCGATGCCTGGAAACTCTGAACCATTCTTCTAAACTGAAATGATACCCAACGTGAGATACCCTGTTCACTTGAATCGCATGCTTGTACATCATACTCAAAAATCCAGAGATCGAGAATTTCAGAAATGTTTATTCAAAAACACCAATTTGCACTTTCTTAAATCAGTCATTGTGGGCTCACTACCGATCCAATTTCAGAAGTTGCCTTATGTTTCACATTCATATTCATTACTGGTGGCAAGATAGATTATGGGCATTTTGAAGAACCGACCTTATTGCAGATATTCTGTCCAACTTATTCCTCGTGTACCGCAACTGCCTCATGGTAGGATTCCTCTTGGAAGCCTCTCTTAAGTCTTTATCTGATATTATATAGTGCTGCTCAAATTGTGCAGACTTTACTGATGTTTTGTGGAGGGATGATCAGCGTGTGGCTCTTTGCAAAGTTGCTGACGGGTAAGCCCTTCAATTTCAGATCTGTACTTTCGAAACTGCGTGAGATCTCCTCCAGTTGGCGATGTTTATTAGTTGTTCGTGCTATGGTACGAACAGAAATTCATCAAGAGGATGCTCACTGTCCCAGTTCCGGATCTAATTTTAATTCCACTTGGTTGATGCGCAGGGTAAATCCTGTCACTGGAAATTCAACACGGGACACGCTCCTGTGCAGCGATTGACCTACCAGTGAGCTATCACTAAGCGGGAGCAGAGTGGAGATTTTGCCCTGCTACGGGAAATGTGTTGACAGGTTGTTCATGAGGTGATCACACCTGATCGCAGCGAAAGCAAATTCTCACTTGCCGCATGATGAGTGAAACATGTAATTTGTGTAGATTATTGAAGGGATGTCGAGCGGGTCAGATTTAAAACCTGCTGGACACACTTGTCTTGTACTTTAAATTCAGTTTCGAATAAACTTTCGAATAAACTAACTCCTACTGGACACCACGTCATTACTTGCTCCCTGACTCCTGTACTTTCATCTGAGATCGGCGTAGTAGCTGTTATCGTCGGGTAAACCGGAAAGGAGACTCTGCGAACCAAGAAAACAGGAAGACTGCTACCGAGAGACTAGTAGAGAGCGGGAGCTCGAGATGAAGATTGAGTTTCAGTCAGCCTTGATATCCGTAAAGAGCCTCCAGTGTAATACGTTCATCCCTGGTCATTGCAAGCACTTCATCATGCTTTGCTGACGAAGAGCTTCGTTTTATATTACGATTCTTCCAGAACGGGCAAGAAGCTTTTCTGAGAAGCACGGATTGATGAATCCCTTGTCCCATTGGGGGCACGTGCGTACAAGCAGAAGCCATTCTGCAAGTTTACTAAACTGGAAATCTGTGATCCACCTGAGCAGGCTCGACCGTGGTGCATTACAGCAAGGACAAAACCTACAGAAACAGGAGGGCTGTAAGAATAAAGGTGAGAGCTTTCAAAGTAACCCCTCTGTCGGGAAGCTGAAAAGATGGCTGAGAAGATGGCTGAAAAGATGAGCTCATTCCCTAGAACACTTGGGGGTGCCAGTGATCTCGGGATTGGATCTCAAGATCATCGCCCCTAACTCGACCTCGACCTCGATCTCGGTCCAGTAACTCAAATTCTTCCGAAGTTGATTGAAGATGGTTGATTCACCCTGGTGTAGTAGACTGAGTCAAGGTCAGTCAAGTTACGAGCCTGTGCATTTAAACCAGCATAGTTGTGACAAACAGCTACCTACACCCAAGTCTCTCCGCTGGCCTTATGCAATCTACTTGCGGGATGGATTATTGGGCCGCAACGGCGCGTTCCTACTACTTCCATTGCCATCACCAGACTGGATGGACACCCACAGTACTGGCGGTACTTCTGGATAATATTACTCCTACCTGCTTAGCATGAACTCCGCTAAATCAGTTCGTGCACACATATCTCACAGAAGGGCTGGATTCAGTGCATGCGAGGGAATTCTTTATTCCCCGCACAAACTTGACCAGTCCTCAGGTCGACAGGATGGTAATGCCAAATCTTACGAAAAGGCTCTCTAAATCAACCTCACGATCTACCGAGACCATAATAGCACATGATGTTAAACAGAGACACTTGGCCAGTCTAGTCACAAGTAGATGATGGGGAATTAAGAAGGATTATGATGCGAACCGAATTGATGCAGCCGTTATCCACGGAGTACAAACTACGCAACGATGATTAAGAATACAGAGGGATTGATCGTTCAGCCTGATAGCGATTCGGCTCTCAGGAATCCACGGGAAGGCTTCGGACGCAGAGGGACGGGTGAGTGGGAGTGAATGGAGCGCAGTGGACTGTGGACCCTTGTGTGCTGAAAGTACAGGCCGATCCATTGCAGAGTTGTCGACACGCGCATGATGTTTTGAATAAGATATGTTGGACGTTCATGGTCCCTTGGAGCGAAGCTCAGGTAGGGCGGCACTGTGCGGGCGTGGGGAGGCCGAGGCACTGTTCGATCCAGCTGGGAGAATGAAGCGGCGAAAAAAGCCGAAGGAGGGAGGGAGGAAGGACGGGACGGGACGGTGGGAATGTGTTCTCGAGCCCACATCTGGAAGGAATCTTCCTGCTGCTGCTTCTCCACTAGGTGCTTTCGAATTCCTTGTCGTGAGCAGATGATTGATTGATTACTGGACCCAGAGCCGGGAGTAATAATCAAAGTCGGACGGCTCGTGATCCGGATTCACCTTCCGTGCATCGATATCCATCTCCATCTCCATCGCCTTCTCCATCTTCGTCTTCATGTACGCCTTAACCGACTCGGGCCTTGACCGGACGAGAAACTAATGGGATGATCTAATCACATACATGTACGTACAAACGAAGGTCCATAGAAAATTGAAAAGGGAGGGAGGGAGGGAGGGAGGGAGGGAGGTAGGTCCGGCTACCGACAAGTCAAGATGAGAAAAGTAAAAGGAAAAGGGATTCGTGCGAGTTCTCGACACTTTAGTCTTATCGTGCCGGCAGAACATGACACATAAAGACAGAAGTCGACGCAGCTGTCATTTCCATGCAGGATGGCGCACGAAGGAGAATAGGCGCGAGTGGTTTGTCGACTTTCACAGCTGTTGTCATCCACTGGAGGCGAGGCGAGGCGAGGCGGGGCGAGTCCACCCACTCTCGCTCCCATGGGGCCAAACGGAATGAATGTCTTTTTTTATGCGAGCGAGCTTCTCAACGAGGCGCTCTCGTGATCGTAGTCGGCCTACTAATCCCTAGATCCTCCTCCCTCCCTCGCTCCCTCGCTCCATGCATTCATACCTCCGCTCGCTGTTTTCTCCCGCCGCTCTCTCCCGATTTCCCGTCTCCCAATTGCACCTGCCTTGGACTTGTTCTTCCAATCCAGTCCTTGGGAAGAAGTTGATCTCATGGAGAGCACGTTCGATCACTGACATTCGTTATGGGCGTGATGAAATAGTTCCGATTTACAGAGCGGCGCTTCGGATTATACGACACAATAGAATAATCTCGATACTTTTTTTATTCTATTTTACAGTTTCAGTATTTCAGTTTACTACAAAAATAATACCAATTAAAAAAATATTATTATCATTTGATGTGTAATGATACACACGACTTGAATGGACGGTATGTGAATTACTTTCGAAGATATAGCATGCCATCAAAGGTACGATAAACTTATAGGGCGGAGCACTGGCATGAAAAAATACGACGGAGAAGCGCACTTATCAAAATTTGAAATAAGATTTATGTTCTTGTTCAAGAGAATTAAATTATGTAATTTTTAATATTTATATGGAAAGTTGTATCGTAGTGAAACATGTGTATTCATATAATTCATGGATAAATTCTTCAAAACAAACCCAGCAATAAAAAAAGATTAAAATAAATTAACAGCATATTTTCAAAATATTAAGTTTTTATCTTGAAAATGAAAATTTTGTTCTGTTTTAGGGTTTAGGGTTGAGATGCAATTAAAAAATTATATCATTTGATTTTTTATGAGATATGAATGTTAAGATAATGAAATATAAAACTGTTAACACTAAAACAGCAAAAATTATCTCTGTTACAAGTTGCATTCCTTAGATGGAAAAAAACAGATTGCAATTTTGACTTAAAATAACATCAAATTAATATTTTTATTATTATAAAAATCAAAAAATATATTAATTAAGAGTAATTAGACTAATTAAAATTGATTAGTCTAGAGATTATCAAGTCATAACATTTTCTAAAAACATTAGATTTTGATATTCTCATATTATTATTGTCTATGAGCAAAATCTTAAAGTAATTTTTGTCTCGAATTTTTATTGTATATTTTTCATCTCAATCAAAATGACAATCCTTATTTATTTTAAATTTTTAAATAAATTTTACAGTATACTAGTTTTGGCATACATGAGTTGTCAAAATCAACATATAAGCCAAATATTCACTATTGAAGTAAACCGTTTTTATGTGAAATTGAGACTTAAATTTTTTAATCATTTTTACCATAATAATCATAATTCAAAATGAAAAAAAATCCCACCAATTTTTGAAAATATTTTAATTTTTAATTTTTTTTGATACTGAGATATTAATAACTTTAATAGCAGTAGTTCATATATATCAACCTATATATACATATATAAGTGAAATTATTTTCATTTTCTATTATAGTATAGGTAATCATATGACTAACACTATGGATTGTAAAAAATTCAACATCCAAAACTTCAATAAAAAATTGTATATTGTTAAAAGATTATTGCAACATAGCTATTTATGAACAGAGTCACCTTTTTCCTGTTATGTCGCATTAACTCTCCTACGAGTGGTTTAAAAGCCTGTTTGGGGCCGAAATGCTCTGTCGTGTGACTCGGTATCGCCATACATCATACATCGTTGACATGCTCTACTCACAACTCACACATACATACACAAGGAACGAAAGTGTCCACACACAAAGATATCACAACTAAAAGATTGTCGAAACAAAAACTGTACATAGAGAGTCGAGCCAAACTCACTACCCTGAGGTAGAATGAGAGTTGAAGCTAGTGGAGAAACCTCCTGCGCATAAGGCTCAACTCGAAGAACTTACAGTTCTTCGAGTTCGCCTCTTATAAAACCCGAGCCCGCCGACGTCCCAACGTGTACCGCGTCCTCAAACTCAAACCGACCCAACGTCTCGAGCCATGACAGGTCACAAAGTGGATGGAGAACGCGCCCTTTTTTCTCATCAAGCGACACGGGGAAGCAAGTTGCATCCTCAACTATTTATTGCACAACAGATTTCATAAAGACTAAAACTTATATACATAATGATGTATATTATAAAACATTTCAATTTTGTTTGTTTAATTATATTAAAATCTAAATACCCATATGATGAATTGGAATTAAATTTGGTTAACATATAACATGGTATTGATGAATAATTAATATAATATATGATTTGAAGATCAACAAACTTTAAAATATTATTATTTAACATCCATGAGAATATACATAATATAAAATATTCAAATATTCATATCATTTATATTATAAGTCAAAACATGGATTTGAAATATTATGAAAAATCAGTCATAAAGTTTCATTAACTTTATGTTATTAATGTATGATACTGAAACAACTATCAGTACAATAAATGAAAGTATGACTTTTATAATAATTAAAGAAAAGTCATGCTTTCATATTTTTTTCTTCTTTCAATCATAAATTTCTTGAATTTTTTAACCAATTTATTTATTTAAGAATATTCTAATAACATATGAAAGTTTTTTTACACATATATATATGTTTTTAATGGAGAATGAACATACTTCTGTTTTAATTACTTCTTAATTATTATTATTTTGAAAATATCTTAATACAGTGATGTGGTATATTAGTAATTTAAGGATTCCAAAAGAAATTGATGAATTTAATGGATGATTTTACTGCATTAGTACTTGATTTAAATTGTTGTAGTTTTTATTTGACAAAGATGTAAGACAACTGATAATAAACTTAGATACTGCAATATGAAGATCTGATTTTTATGAAATTATGTTACAAATTTAGAACAAATATATTATGCATAAAAAATCATAAATTTTGCTGCTTTATAGAAATTTGATTGATAAAAAATGCAGTCATATGAACATATTTATTTTAATAATGAATGAAAATATTTTATTTTTAAATCTACAGAGGTAACATTTCAAACTGTACAATAAAATCTAATTTAATTTGAAAAAAATTTAAATTAAATAATATCAACCATGAATCAATCAATAAAAATGTTGCAATTTGAAATAAATATATCAATTTTTTTTTTCAATAAAAAATATGCGAAATATCCAAATATATATAAAAATCTTTATGAAACAAAAAATTAATACGAGATATCAATATAAAACTATAAATATTTTCAACATACAGAATTTCGATTTATATACATACATACATACATACACAGACACAACACTTAAATTCGTTAAATTCAAGGTAACTAAATTTTAGATTATATATTTGACAAAAACATGAGTATTTAGAATTAGATGTTATATAGGTTTGAGGTTTTATATATAGCAAAGTCTAATGTTGACCATAATACAGTAATTATGTTTTTCTGGTTAATATGTTGATCACTGAATATCATATAATATTTTTGATCATATTCTGATCTATTTTGATCTATCTAGATGAATCATCAATAAAACTAAAAATTATTAAATAATTATGATTTATAAATATATAAACAATCATTATTTAAAAGTATGTAGATTACATGATTACAAATTAAATCACTGAATTTTCATTGATCATTATAAATTCAATGATTTAATTTGTAATCATGTAATCTACATACTTTTAAATAATGATTGTTTATATATTTATAAATCATAATTATTTAATAATATTTAGTTTTATTGATGATCATCTAGATAGAATTATCATGAATAAGAAATTACGTCATGTATGAATTGCACGATTGTATCTCAATTTATTCAACTTTAAATACAACTATTTGTACCATTAGAATACATATTCTCAACCTCTGTAAATGAAGTCGGATGTCATTACAAACATGACATGTTTAAGGTATTATGTTTTTATAATCAATTTTTTGCTTTAATCTGAGAATTTAGACATTTTCAAGAAATTTCATCATATTAAACTATGTTCAATAATATTGTTCTAAGGTTTTATTTGGAATTATGTTTTAAAAAAGGTTTTGCTGAGGTTTTGGCAAAATCCATAGCAAACATATTATTTCAATGGATGTACTTACAAATTTTTTTATTCTTTGAAGAAATTTTGTATTCAAAATAAAATTTGCATTCATACAAGAACAATAAATATAAAGACTGATGAAAAAGAACTCATGCACGTGGGTATGCATTTTTATCAATATTCGCTTAAAAAACATAGAGAGTCAGAGAGTCTTATTGCAAAAATCCATGAGCATCTATTATCTGTTTAGCAAGTGTATAAATGATCTATTGTAATTCAAAAATTAGTAGATGCACTGAAATTACACGTAGGATATTTGAATTTGTATAAGGGACTTTAGATTATATCTGTCTTATACATAATTTTTTTTAAAATTGGTAATATGATGTTATACATTATAAACTAACACATACCTTATATGTTACATATGTACCTTAGTACTACTAATTTTTTTTTCAAAATATGAATATGAATTAAATTTTAATAAAAGAAATTTTCAAATATTGCAATCTCTAAAACAATTACAATTTCATATGGAAAAAATAATTTGCGTTTTCCTCAATACGATATTGCTATCAAAGGAACATGGAAGATGGGAATTAGTGTTGGAGGCACAACTCAAAAGGATGCCCGCGGGCGGGGGCATGCCTCATTCGCATTTTCCATAAGGGGCCTGCCGGTATGTACAAAAATTTTTTTTACGTATATTCCAGAGTTATAGACGGTGTGATAAGTCAAAAAATAAATGGAAAATACTGCTTGCTGTTTGGGCTGCATGGCACTGAAACTGCTTGGAACTGAAGGATTTGCCAAGTATATGCAATGCTGTTTTTGTGTGGGTACGTGGGATGTAGACAGGTAGTCCGGCTTGTTGATTGTTTCTGCTTCTAAGAGTGCTATATTTTCATGAAAGTGTATTTTCTGATACATCAAATATACATATTGCAATACGGGCATGCCTTTTGCAGTTGAAAGGGGGCATGGGCAAGCCTTGAAAAATTTTGTTGTTCCTAATGGGAAGTATAGCACGAAGCTAGTAGTGTGAAATTCTTGGACAAGTGAACCCTTTCCCCTTCGGATGGAACGAGAAACACTGGGTCCCACGATAAGTGGTTAATGTTCGCTACAGTCCAAAAAATAGCGCCAAAAATCGTAGACGGAAACTCAATCATACAAGAGAGACATACGATAATATACGGTTAATCATACAATAGCGTATGTTTCCCACAGTAATGCTCCACCGAGTGAGACCATGAATACAGTACAGTACACGAGATTCAGATACTGAACATGGGTCGACGTAGACGAGAGGCGGGGCCCACGTGTCAGCTTTGAGGCAACGGAGAGAGACTGAACGAGGGGCCATTTCGCGTCGTCGCTGATGCTGCAACTTCGAGAACGTGGGCCTCGGCCGAGCTGGCGTCCGCCCACTCACGCCTCGTCAGCTTTTGGCGGCAAGGCGCTGTGAGGTGTCGTCCTCCTCACCCAAGCCTTGGCTATTCTCATCCGGCCGGCTCGAGCGCTTTGCCCGCTGGTCCAAGTGTCAGGTCCGGCACGAGGCGAGTGAGTGGCAGCCGCGGAGCAGCGCCCGCGGCTAATTCGAATCGCTCGCACATGGGTCGCAAGAACGCGCGTCCCCGAACGGCTCTGGCGGGCTCCCCCCCTCCTTCCTCCTCCTCCTGGCCCCTTTGAATGGAATGGCCCGGCCGTCAGTGGCGTCGATTTGGCGATGGCGGACGCAGATCTCGACACCCCGTGCGCAGATCTGCGCTCGTCTATTCTGCGGAAGCGAAGGGAAAATCGGAAATGGAAAATGGATAGGGCGATGGAGATGGAGATGGAAACGGCAGTGACTGTTGGCACACGACATGATGCCTTGCCCGGGAAACTCTAGTTGCGAGAACGAGGAGGTCGTGCACGTGAAAAGCCTTGTCTCATGGTGCGAGTGGAGGTGTGTCGTTAGCGCATATGACGATGCGGGAGGAATCTGCTCGGACGAATGATTTTTTTGACGCTCGTTCGAGCACTTGCCCACAACTTTCTTTCTATCGCGTGCCGAAAGACGACTCGATTTCAAATGGAGTTATTTATCCTTGTGGATATTTTTCATTTGGAAGTTCATGTAGGTCCAAATTCTGTAGGAAACATTCAAACCGGATATCGGGATGTCGAGGGGAGAATTTACCTTCTGCTTTTTCAACAATCGCGTGTTACGTCAGGTCCTGGAAAGGGAAATGGGATATTACGAGAATGTAGAGGGTAGCAAATCTTTCGACCAGTGACTCGTTCTTGTCGAGTGCGTTGTTATCCTCTGTTTCCCACGATGATAGGTTGATATCTCGTCTTCGTGTACCGGATCCATTTTCTTGTGATATGGTGAAAAGGTGAAGTCCGACAGCACTCTGCCATAGACTTGCCGAGAAGTCTGTATGAAGAGAAAAGAACTTTACATTACGATTTACGACACTAAGTCGACAAGAGATTTTAATGCGATGAAAGCCTGGGGCCGAAAATTCAAAAACCAATTCCAAGAGCTGAGAGTTTTTGGATTGGTATCCGGGAAAAGTTGAAGGAAGTTTCCATATTTCGCAACCTACGGACCCAACCAACCCAAATCGGCCACGCATAATTTTGCACATAATTGTCGGCCTTTTTCTCGCCGTCCAAAGATGTAGTGACGGTGTATGAGTTCGTTATATAACGTTGAAACCCAATCTGAAGAGAATGAAATACTGGTTAGTGTGCTTCGGGATCATACCTGACGTAAACCTTTGTCAAACTACAGGAACCATCGTTGGAAGAAGCGCAGTCGAGAGTGGCCAGCCAGAAGCAGTACTTGTCATATTTTTTCGGTCAGCGATATAAAGGTGTCAATCTTTGGCGAGATAAACCCTTATCTTTTCCCCCACATTCTTCGCAGGAATCTACGGAACCGAAGGTTTAGCTAGCCCCAAGGCGATTCTCCTACTGGATGTATTTTCCAGTCGAGCTTTTCGAAGTGGAATACCAGCTCTCCTCTCATCATCATCACGCATGATGCGGAAATTATCCCTTCCTTTCTTCACATGATTTTCTGCATGAATTCCATGCCCATGCAGGCAGATTCAGACTATCTTTGTCTCGGAGAAAATCATCACGAAAGCGCAATTTTTCTTGCAACTGTGAGCCGAGGGGAATGCTCGATCCATGCTACGATTATTCTCCTTATGACTATGTAAGGGTACCATATAATAGGCCTTATACCCTGTTTTGTCAATATGGTAAGATTTATGAGTATATACGTGATTTGTTTATAATTTGCAACGACAAACAACAGATCCGGCGAGGAAGAGAAGTAAATGCTGTAGCATGGACAGAAAATGTACGACGTTTCTCATCATTGCAATGGCAAAGAGCATAATGCTGCCACTGAAATCTCAAAATATTCGACTCGGGGAGGATCCGAATGTGAACCGTTGTCGTTCACATGCATGAAATGTGGATAGCCGAGCGACGAATCAGGACGAACGCTCGAGCTCCAGAAGGTCAATGAAAACTTGGCCACCGTCCTCATGGACGTGCATTTACAGCGAGCGCAATCACAATAAAGCGAATGCAGATTAGTGGGGACTGCTCGACGCCTCTGGTCACGCAGGAGCAGCTGCAGCAGCAGCACCAACACGAGGAACAACAAAAACAATGGCCTACTATGCAACCATGGCAGAACCATCATTTCCCTCGACTGTGCATCTGACAGTACTGCAGTTTTCCCAATTACAGTTACAGTTACATTGTATCCCGTACGACCAGAGCCAGTTTACGAATACCGTACAGTACAAGGATGCAGACTCCCGTCAGTCGATGTTCACATCGATCGACATTTTGCAAGATATTGTGCAAATCTCCCGAGTCACATGAGGAGACACTCAATCACGTCCCTCGGCAGTTTGGAACCTCCCTCCCGCTTCAGGATTTGACTGTTTCAGAACTTCAGAGCTTCAGATATGGTGCAGATGACGTTTCAGATGTACATATACGCGTACAGTACGTGACGCAGACTCTACCCAGTACGAGGGGTGTACAGGACAAGATCACCTCCCCTTCCATGAGGACGGGGTGGGAGCTGAACCTCGGTTCGAACCCTGATTTGAATCCCGAGCCCTGATTCTGCGCTCCAGGATAACACAATGAATGACATACTGCAGGACGGAGTTATGGTCATGATTCGAGTGTCTCAGGCACCTAGACAAATTGGAAAATCGACCGAATATTTGCCACCAGGCGGTGTCAGGACAGATGGTAGGTGGACTTTTACAGTGGGAAATGATATATTACATGGAGGGCGACATGTGCAATTTGATGATAGATACTCAGGTTATTGAAGAACATATTTTCCAGGAATTTTTTTTGAAAATATTGCAAGGTTTAGGTATTTATTCAGCTTTTCAAGATATGATTACTGACGGTCTATTGCATGATTTGACCTTAGCAAGTAAATCTCTTCGCCATAGGCTCTATTAGACATATTCATCACATTTATAATCATGGTTTTATAATTTTCTTACACTGATGAGTCAGGGAATTTCAGAGTGCAGAGATTACTTAAAGAAAAGTATGGGAAAGAAGCTGGAATTTTCGAGTCTCTGCAAAAATAGAAATCTGACTTTGGCACTTTATAATCTAAAGCTTCATTGTATATCGAAGTGTTTTGGATGTATGGTCATGAAGTCCATTCGACTTCATTTTGTGGACCATGTCGGTCTTTACGTCAGCTTCTAAGATCGGTTAATTCTATTGAATATTCAGAGAATTTGAGAACAACATATGGTTATGATGGGTCGATATTCTTGGACTATATGAGATTGGATGTAGAACACGATTTAGACTAAAATTTTATATTATATTGGAACTTTACATCTCTACCCTTCAGAATTTTTTTTAAGATCATGATATGAAGATGGAAGTACTTACTGTTCCAAAATAATCTCAGTCTTCCAAGGAATAAGATTGATATGAAGATGAAAGTTTACATCATACGTAGCATTAAAACCCAGCATCCAGATGCCTAAATAACAATATTCGTTGATATTTTGAATGTTATTGAATGTTTGATCATATTATGCTTCGCAGTTAAATAGTCAATCCTCTATTTCCATTTTAATAATTTATTCTGCTATGTAACTTTGAAATATAAATATAAATGTATATATATATATCGTAGTAATATTACAATCACGTAAACACCCTCTGGAAATCACTTTGCTTAATTTATGAGTCAACTTCTTTGTAATTCGAAAGTATCTCGTCTTGAGCAACGTATTTCAAGGATTGTTTTAACCGATATTTACTTTTTGTAAAAACATAAACCTACTTTTCTAATTTTTTTTGTAATTACCTGAATACAAGATATGCTTGTAGATATATTTCTCTGCATATCTTTTTCTGATTTTGTACATCTTCCATTTAGTATGCATGTATCATATACACGAAAAGATTCTGTCTTGCTCACAAGGTCCGACATGTGAACAAGTACAAAATTTGTTGCTTCTTAGACTTGATTCGGACATAATTCTAAAAATGTAGAAGTCTAACAAATTATGACTGATCTATTAAACCGATGACGTTTCTTCTGACTCGTTTATGAATTCATACGTTGTCTCTATATTCAACAGTTGTTTGAGTTAGTGACAGGTTGGAAACCTCGAAGCCTACAGGAATTTCCAAAGTCAAACAGCAATGAAACCTGAAGAACTTGTACTTGATATTCCAGGATCTCATCATCTGGGTTTCGTGGAAGGTACAGAAGTTGTAGGCAATGGTCAACATATTTGTTCAAACAGAATTCTGAGCCCATATATCTATACCGGGTGAACTATTTATGACTGCTCTCGTATTTCCAAGGTACAGTTCATGGTGCTGTCATCAGATATTCCAGATTTTGCATGGCGATTACTGTCTGCATCGAACACTGAAATTCGGTAGACTTCATTCCCTAAAGAAAACTTCTTGCTTATTGCGATGAGGTCTGAGAAAGAAGAAAAGGGTGAAAACAGAATATTTTCAATAATTTTCCTCCTTTCAATCTTCTTGGATGCTAATAATGACTTGTCTGTAACATTAATCATCTACACTATTCCGAATTTTTCCAATAACTTAGTTCCATTTAAACTATCCTGTTTTATTCCCTGAGTCCACCTGAAAATAATATATATATATATATATATATATATATATATATATAATATTCACAGGGCACAAGCACTTAATTTGGAATAAGCTGAGATGTAAGGTCAGTATAATTTCATTTATAAAAAACTATAATTATACGGGCCAAGAATACAAATTTAATGTACTCGTGGCAGACCCTGAAAGAGCCTACTTTACACGGAGACATTGGTTTTGAATCTTGTTATCATTTTATGTTACTGACTGCAATGGCGGATTTTCTATTTTTCAAAATATGCAATGGCCACATTAGACTGAATGAAGAGATGGACACTAAACCACCCTACACTTTTTTGACCTAAATAAATGAAATTTACTTGTTGAAGTAATATATATCTATGATTGTGATGTTATTGGGGCTAGTCCGGCCTTACCCTCTTAGTGTCTTCCTCGTGGGACTTCGTTGGGTTTTTCGATCCATATTTTACTTGTCCCTTGCGTCTTCTTGACTCCAAGATAATGACACCAAGTGCGAGATGTCATATTCTTTCGAGGCATAAAAAAGGAAGTTTGTATCAGTATTCCCCAATTAGCAAACCTCGTCTGGGGTCACCAATAAGAACAAGGCCGGGGGTGAAGTTCAGAGTTTCTGATATTGAAACAAGCAAGCATGTCGAGGAATAATGATGGTGACGAAAAATGGCCTCCTGTGAAAGCATCCCATCACTCACCCATTCATGACTTCAACGCGACGTGGTGACACCCGAGAGTGGCTTCGCCAAGGGGTACAAAAATGCCAGTTTCACGAAGTGGAGAGCAACTTCGCTTTGGAGCTGGATTGCCCACATCCGGACCTCGTCGTCAGAAGGGGTGAAATTTAGGTCCACCAATTGTTTTGAAGTGTTCGTCCGATCCATCCACGTTGCAAATGTCGAGAAAGCGGTTGGGGTTAGGGTTTCGGCGTAGATTCAAGCCAAAGCCTGCAGTACACGAGCATGTCTGCAGCGAATCTTCCGCAGGTTTCGTATACACACTTTCCATTTCTTGAGCCTTCTTTGCTCGACGTTTTCTTTCTCTGTCAGACTTCTGATAATGTGTGTTGGGGAAGCAAGATCGAAGAACCTGTTGCATGGCCGGACATGAGCATACATTTGGGTGACTAGATGACACTTTTATGAAGGGGCCAAACCACATGTTATGATTGGATGTGTTAAACGGATTTTTGGGTTGTATCACACTGGCATTACGAAAGACTGAAGTTTGGAAGAGGCAAGGGATTGTGATACATTATGAATCAATCATAAGATGATGTTTGTGGGTGGAAGGCTTCTGTAGAAGAGTAAATAATTGTTTAATAATCACGAATGACGATATTTCATTGTCGATCCAGGACTGAAAAAGAACATCCAGGACTCCCTTCCACTATTCCATAATCTTTCACAACGATAGTTATCATACTGTGGCCTGTAGGATTGGATTTGCAGTGTATGTGTCTGCAGCCATTGGAAATTATTGCAAATAATGAAGGGAAATAAATATATTATAAGTACTTTCTCTCTCTGAATGAGGCACTCTACCAAACAAGTTAATTACCCTAATTTGACCAATACTCAGTTATTATTAAGCACATGCAAGGAGTGGTTTGTTTCACAAGAGTACACATCAGAGTAGCAAGCCATGGTTGGAGTGATTTTGGGAGGGCGATGTAGGACCGATTCGAAAAAATTGCAGCCACCAAATAGATATACTGTAACATTTGTAGTTTTTCCTAACCCAGCAAAGTGCAAACTTCCCATCTGACTATGTCTTCTGATGTGAAAATACGTTTGCATCACTTGTCACGGCTCTCACAGAATGCTGATAAGAAAGGTCTTGGAATGTGGTTGTAAGTCTATAACCATCAATCCGGCTTCACTCTTAGGTCAATGCAGGATATTAAGGGCGAGCTGTGTCTAAATGTGAAATTTGTACCTTCCCAGCAAAAGGCCAGGACTTTTCTTTCCAGCTTTTGAAGGGCGTGCTTGTCATCCTAAACTAGCAAATTTAATTCTCGCATGCTCAAGATTGACATGGCGATCCCACTCATAATGTTGTATGAAGAGTTTCTCATGGGAAGCTTCAACGATTTTACCAAAGTTAAACCTTTGGATAGTAAACTCTATGACAGAGGATTGATGTCCACCCTAGTTGGCTCACAGATGTGATAAAGGTGTAGTTTGAATCATATTGTTCTACTTCAACGTTATTGTTCACTTCAGTGATTCTAAAGTTGATTCATTTGTTCTACTTCAACATTAAACTTATTTCAAAATCATTTTTTCCACACTGATTTGAAGTTTATACTCAAAGGATGGCGATTTTTCTTTTTCATTTCATAAAAGATTCATAATTCAAAATATTTTTATTTTTTGAAATAATTTAAAATAAAATTGTAACTGAAATCTCAATAGTACTTATTTTTGAAATATAATTTTAAGGACTGTGATATATCCCTAACAACCTTTACTTGTTATTTAGTTTAAACCATTGTCACTTTTTGTGATGTTTTATGAAAATATACTTCAAGAATCAAATCATATATAAGATATATATACACATATAATTTGAGCCCAAAAAAATCTCCTTAAATATCATGATGCAAATTTATACTAAATAAAGTAAATAATCAGATAGATTGATGAAAAATATCTCTAACAAAATTTATATATTAAGATCAAAAATATTTTTTCATCCTTTTTTTTTATATATTTAAGACATCAAATCATGTTTCATGTCAATTGCTTCATTGAATGACTAGATATTTGCATGTATATTTGATTGAAAACTTCATTGTGACAGAAATGGTTATGAAAAAATTATATATAGAATAAATTGTAGATTATAAGTTCCAGACTTTTCATCGCGTGAAATTTTACTGACAAATTTTAGAATAATTTTTTTAATTGAATAAAAACATGTAGTTTTAAAATTATTTATAAGTAATAATTGATATTTTAATTTTCAGTGTAATGAAGTTATTATTTCAAAATAAGTATGAACCATCGAATTATAAACTTGAAAGTTAAACCTGTGATAAACAACCAATAATAATAAAAAATTGAAATACATGTTTTTGAAACAAAATAGACAAAAATGTGTAAATTAAGAATTATAAACATTATATTTATATTTATATTTATGAAATTGATTGACCTCGATTTCTATGTTTAAATTATTATTGAATCAAGCTTGTAGTATATATATGATAATCAAATAAAGTGTTTGTGATATTTAAATGATTTACTAGAAACATATAAAAAGTATTATATAGAATAATTTTGTAACACTTCTTGGGCTTTCATGAAGTAAGAGGAGTTTTACAATATT